ATTATCAGGCCTGTCTTAATATTATTGAGATATGACATCAGGTTAATACTGAGGAACGGTGATTCATTTTTTAGATATGAATATCGTATTGAACTAGTCCACCATTCGTCTCCTAATTCAAGCAAGAATATCATACGAGAGTTTGGTAAGAGAACGTGTAATATGCGAGTTAGCTTAACTGTGGGACTATTGACCAGTCAACTGATTGTATAAGACTTGTTTAAACTTCTCTGTATCAGTCGAAGAAGAGTTATAGGATATAAGGAGAACTGAGGTTGATATAGATGGATGTTGGTGGATAATGTTGTGAAAGGAGAGTCCCCATTTTAGTTGAAAACTCTCATGTTGATTGGTGAAGCTCGTGGGTACACAGGGGGATAATATTTTTGATTCTTTAAATTGCAGCATCAGAGTTTGAGGTGGGCGAGTGCTGGGGTTACAACAGGTTCTTCCGTCTTGATCTTCTGGTTAGTATAAAAACTGTTCTCTACGATTGCTCAGGCATGAGCTCGCCTAAGGAAATATCACGTATTCGAACCGTCTTTACCTAGTAGCTCAGTTAGAAGAGCATTTGACAATCCTAACTCGCGTGTTTTTCTTATATTAAAGTACTTTACATGACCTTTAGGCGGATGAAGGTTACCTCAATATGACCAACGACACTCTGATACTGAGATTTCACGTCAGAGCGCCAACATACTTTCAAAACAGCCAGGAGCAGAAATGGTATGAATGTTTTCAACAGAGCCTTAGCTGGTTTCAATTTTCACACCCAAACTCATATCTACAGACACGATGTTGATGGTCCTTGATCATTGAGATCCCAAAACTGCTCGATAAAGAGATCATTGAGATTTACTTTTACTTTTCAAACTGTATTTTCTAGGTATATACAGAAAGAAGCTGCTATAAAGAAACAACATCTTCAACAGATCGAAAGATTAAAAGAGGTGGTTTTATCACTTATATGTCCTATGATATTTTTGTCTATGATAGTTTGTCGTAAAAGAATAACACAAGATCTTCATTTGCCAATATTGTTTGTTTATCTTTGATCTTACAGCGTCTGATGGAAGAACTAGCAAAGAATAATACAAATCCATCACCTGCTCCTGGATTGCTGGGTACATTTCACTTTTTAATACATGTCAAAAGTGTGTTACATCGCCCTGGCATTTCTCCAAGGTGTGGCCAGGTATTGACTGTATTTTCTGAATTTTAGATTATAGTCATGGCTCGTTATTGGAACAGACATTTGAAGAGCCTGAAGCTGAGCCTACACCAAGCAAAATATTTCCATCGAAAGTAACCGCCTCTGGAAGACCTAAAACAACACAGTCGATTGCTATTGATGTTGAAAGTGCCACTGGTGAGTGTTTAAGAAATATTCGTCCGTGAGGCGTGGGACCTTGGTTACAGCGGGTACGAGGAACGTCATGTAGATGAAACTCTAGAGAGAGAGTAGTGATCTATGTCTTTAACGAGGTCTACGTGGCTTTCAGGTCAAATCTCTCAGACAAACGAGGGAGGTGAAGAAGAGTGTAGCGATCACTCCAGTGACGATAGTGAGGACAGCGAGGAAGATGAAGGGCCACTACTTGATCACACGAATGATGAGACTTTAGAGGAATCTGGTTTATTAGGAGACTCTGAACTTGCAGATGATAGCGAGGTACGTAATCAACGATAACTTGTTTTATTATTTATTGAAAATGAGTCAAGAGTTTTGATTGGCCAGCAGCTGTTGGCGAAATCGTCATATCCGCTCGGCAGCTGCCCAAATTTGGACAGTGACGTCACTTCGTCGGATATGAAAAAAATTATTGCACGTTTGACGTCACTTCGTCAGATATGAAAAAAATTATTGCACGGTATGACGTCACATATGTCTCCTTGTCTACAACGCAAGCGTTTAGTCTAAGCCCAAAATTTTTGCAAATAAATAATAAAACAATTATTGAATTCGGTTCTCGCAGGATATGAGGAATTATCAAGGCCTCGTTTAATATTGAATGATTTCTATGAAGATGACTATCCTCAGGTGGTGGAAACGTCATTCATCACACCGCCAACAACAACAGTCCTTCTCAGAGCTACACAAACATAGAGGATCAACATCTTTAATTATTTCTTTTTGCCTGAAATCCGCTGTCTTTATGTCGTCGAGTTTACAGAGGCGTGAACGAGTTTGTTTTTGTTCAGGTTCCTGAAGAAGATTGGGTGAATGAACAAGAAGAATGTGGAGCAAAAGATGAGAAGGAATCTGATGAAACAAAGAAAAAGGTTGAAAGAAATACGCCAAGTGGACCATCTGATGGATCACAAGTAATTTCATCAAATGAACAAAGTTATGGCGAGCACTGGCTGCGGACATTCTCAAAACCTGAAGCTCTAAGGTTATTTTATTAAATATAACAGCGCTGTTTAGATCTGACTCCCACTCCCGCTACCTTTGAGTCCTTCCTGATGGTAATTCTAACGTTTCCGCAATCTGGGCTCTGGTAACTAACATACTTGTCTGTGTTCTTCCTATCAGTTTACGATGGGTCAGAGAGGCGACCGTTGAGAATCCCTGGGGTTGGACAAAGCCTGAGGCAGCAGATTTTCAGCTAAATCACATCGCTCTGGGAGCAACACCTCCGCCTCGTCTTCGGAATATCCCGGAATATGACGTCGATGCCGTGTTAAGTGCTGGGGAACTCGTGATTGACGAGGAAGAGCGTGCGTTGTTGGATAATTTAGGACTGGAAACCTGTGACTCGTCGAAACACACGAAGAAAAGTGCAGCGCAAAAAATGTCGCGTCAAAAGCGTGAGGAAAAGGAGGACCCGTTAACGAAACCTCTAAGCCCTGATGGTATGACTTTTGATACTTCTTTGACAGGGACGGTTTAACTGCGATATCGTTGCTCAACTGTAGTCTTTCATTCAACACAACGCTCTCTAAATCCAGTCAATCAACGATCAGTTGTTTCATGCGTGAATTCTATTTCTTCAGATCCATTTCTTCCATTCCTTCCTCCAAACATTCCAAGAAACAGCCGCTGGGCAAAAATCATGCGAAATAAGTGGGAGAGAGAGTTGAGAAAACGGCAAGTGCAACTATCAGAGCTTGCAGGAGGAAACCACTCAGGCTCGCAAGGTAAGCCAAGTGCATACGAGATGATTGCTAGATTTGACTTTAGCCTCACTCTCATTAGAAAGAGATTCCCCCTGTTTGATTCTAAGATCAGGGCCGTAGCAAGAAAGAAAGAGGGGAGGTAGTTAGAATGGAAGAAAAAAGGGGGGAGGGTGTCAAGTGGTGTAAGTTTTCACTCTATTGAGAATACAATAATGTTTGTCCTAAAATATCGTGACAACATTTTCAGGTCCTCGAAGATACGGAGTGTCCAAAAGCAGCGATGCAAGCAGCCCTACTAGCAGCGTTCAACCAACAAGCTCACCCACATCACTAAGTCGCTCTGGCTTTCCTTCTAGTCCTGATAGTCAGCCAACGAGTTCTTCTGTTGCTCAGACCAGCAGCAGTGAGACTGTGATGATGTCTGAGGCATTGCAAAATGCACAAGATAATCCTGACGTATACCAAGCCAAACCATTTCAATTGAAGAAACTAGTTGAGAATACGAGTTTGAGCGATACTCCTTCTTCTGCTTCGAGCAAAACTCGAGGAAAATCATCCAGTAAAAGACGATCTCATAAGACAAAGAATTTAACAAATAGAACTATTGATGACTTTTATGTCTCCAGGTAAGTGATGTGAGAGGTGTACAACAAAAATGGATTATGCAATCATCAAGTCTAATATTTTATACCCAACAGTTCTTCAGTTGATTCAAACACACAAGAGGAAACGTGTGCTGACAGCCTTGAACGGGAAGGTGGGTATTGTTAGTCAACCTGATAGAATCTTTGAAGAATAACAGCGATCAGTTATGGTGTTAAGTTATGTTAAAAACACCAAGAAATGGAGCCATTGATTGGAGAGATTGAGATGTGAAGAATGTTCATCCGTTTTCCTTCAGGTCTACAGTGGACATCGAAAGTTCTCGAGGAAATGAAAAGAACTCAGAATTATTCATTGAAGAACAAACTGAACGATAAAGAAGGTTGTATATGTCCAAGTATGAACTCGGCTTTGAGGTGCAGCAACAAAGCCTTGGGTCCACGATGCATCACCTTGGACAGAGACTACGCTAAAGCATTTGGAGATGATGACAGTGGTTGGTGAACTAAACTACCTTTATCTAGAAGCTTACAAATACGATGAACCTACAACGTCCATTGTGCAAACCTTCTTGTGTTCATTTTTTCTTGACAGATGCCCGTCGTAAGACGAAGTTCCAAAAACATCTGAGTCTCAGATGCCCAGACACAAGCGAGAGTGAGGATGATGAAGATCCACCGCAACACAACATCGCAACATCATCAAACACAACATCAAGACCAACACCGCCGCTACGAGAGTTCTTACAAAACCTTTCTGCCATGAGAATACAAGTTGAAAACCATCCTTTGGATGCAAGTAATACAGGTATTAATTACAATCTTTCCTCAAATCAGGTTAATAAGGAGCTAATGTAGTATTTTCTTCTTGAAAATTCAGAGATGACTCATCGTCTTAACGAGGAGAATGGAGCTAGTCCACAAAATGATGGGTGAGTAATTTTACTTTGACTTTAACAAACAGCATCCCATCTACTGGGATAATCCAACTATTCTCATTTCAGCCTCAAAACGAATATTACACTATTACAGACATTCATTTTCTTCTTCTGTCCCAGATCACAAGAAAATAACAACTCCGCAAGTGTGATCTGAGGAGAATTGATCATGTAGGTCATACTACAGAGGTGTGAATGATAAAACCATAGACTACCACTATTATAACTTAATATATTTCTGAAATAATTCTAAAAAGGTAGAAAAAAGTTTTTTGTTAAGAGTTGATGTAAATTTGTAAGTGCATGTAAATATTTTCTTCCCAATAGAATATGAAAATATTTAATATTGTATTATTTATATTATTGTATCAGGTGAGTTGTCAGGAAAGTTTGTTTCAATAAATTTGTCCATATCTGATATTTGCCATGATATAGGATAACTTTCGTTCGTTTCTCTGTCAAATGTCAGCCAATCAACGAAACTTTCAAACGTCCAGACATGATAGCATTGTTGAAGTTCATTAGAGCCAGAAATTACCTCGTTTGTTCCACTTGAACAGATGGAAAATCTAAAATAAGGTGAAAAAGATTGAATCAAGGTCTTTCTGTTATATTTTCTGAATACCTTTCTTATGTGAATGAAGTAGCAGACAGGTCTAGGTGAAGGAAGTGAAGAGAATTCACTAACACAAACCTTTCAAGGGTTTTAAATTTAACATTAATCTGAAAAGTTACTCCAAGTTTAGCTGCGTCTGCTCCAATATCTTTTGAGTCATCCCAAGGAGAATTACTCTCTATAAACGAAGATGTAATTTTTAATTGTGGCTCTTCGAATAAAATACAATTTTTTAAAGGTAGGAATGTGAATGACCTTCCATAACAGTTTGAAGTTTTGTTTTACTTCCAACAATTTCTTGGCCACAAACTCTTAGGATATGCTTATCTGAAGGATCTGCCTTTCCAAATATGGATTTAACACCTTCAAAGAATTTGTTAGTAAGTAAGAAATGAATCGATATATATATCATAGTTGTTACTGTGGGCTTGAGTCATTCGATTCAATTTTTTACCTGTAATGTCAATTACTTTTGTTTCCTCCAATTCCTGGAAAAAATAGGCAGATATAATGAGGGCCCATCACAGAAAAAGTGGATGCTCAAGCAGACACCAAAATGATGAAAGTGAAAATAGAAAAGGAGGAAGATAGTTCTGCATTTTGAAAGGAGACTTTCTAATCAAACTTGCTTCCCTCGCACATACAAGGTTTAACTTTTGTTTGTTTTCTGACAAGGTAAAAAAAGCATTCTTGTAACACTGGCTGAGACGTGTGCCTGAAGAATGCAGAATGTTTTAAAATTAGCACAAATAAAACGAAAGAAAGTTAGAAAGATATAAATATTAGTTTTCTATTAGTCTTCACCCATCATTTCTTGAAGTCTTGTTACATCTTTGGTTGAGATTGCATTTGAAACAGCACCAACAGCAAGCTAAAATGAGCATATATATAAATAATTGGTAATCTATTTAACCATTGGCAAATTACATCTGAGAATGGATCTGTATACCTGTGTTCCTTTTAAGAATTCTTGCTTATTGAATGGTGCACTATAAAAACATTTTTAAATAAGATGTCCATCAGAATACAACTGCCTCGCATTTGATGAACAAGAAGAATAATCACATTTCTAACAGCCTGAGCAACTTGACCAGTTATCAATCGACAATCATATAACCATATAACTACCAGAGAACTCCACCAGAGTGCATTGATTGACGATTGTTAACCTTTATGCCAACCATAAATATCTGAGAGGCCTGTCAATGTTTGACTGAAACCAACAAAACATTTCAAACAACTTACTTGACATTATTAAGGATTTTATTCATAATGAAAAAGCCCAACAATTTGTGGAGAAATGGTGAGGGTTTCGTGTCATCTAAATAAAAGTATAAACATTCATGCAACTGCTGCAAGATCCTCCATAATTATGACTTCTCTATAGTCTAATTTCATACCATGCAAGTTTTGTATCCACGGAAATGGAAATATGCGATCATTTTTTCTATGAATAAATGCCAATTTTGAATATGAAAAGTTAACATATTTTATAGGAAAGTACTTCTTGATAACAGCCCACATATTCTCCAAATAGTATACTACTCAGCATTCGTGGACACCACGCGCCACGTCTTCATTCCTCTTCCAGGGTGTCTGATTATCTTTACAAGAACAGTTTACGAGAAAAACTTCCTTATACTTGCTCGAAATATGAAATCGAGAATATTGTCTAACGCAGATAACATTACAGCAAGTAATTTTCTCAAAATCTTCCTTCAAACTTATGATGTTTTTGTTTGTTCCCGCGTGTTTTAAAGTGGTCCTTCGTGTCAGCCACGAAGAGAGGTCTCAGAGATACAGAAATACTAATACGCAAAATGAGTCGCCGACGTTATGTTGTGGTCGATTTCTTTAAATAAATTCACTAATGGGTGAACTTAGAGCAGATTTTCTTGGGAAGACACTACTTCCTCTCTCTTTTCTCTTTCTTACGCGGTGTCTAACAGCAGGAATTGCGCTAAATCGAAGTAATTCTGAGCATGGTTTTCCGACATCAAAAGTGCTTCCTGCACAGCTGACGGAACCAAAAACACAAGATAAACCTCGTCCTACGGTAAAATCTCTTCTAGTTATGTGCTATTTATTTTAAGGATGTAAAACCAAGAATCCATATTTTTTATTTTAGTATTTCTAGGGGGAAACTGCTGCCTAAAATGTAGGGATGGGTTTTTAAAATTATTTGCTATATAAATAATTGGATACAATAATATATTTGCTTGTGTGTTGCGGTTTGTCAGTGATACAGCAAAACTAATTTAAAATTTGGAAAAGCAGTTTAATATGCTAGTGCAGTAAAGAAACATAGTCTAGTATTGAGAATAATCCAATGTTTTTCAAACAGGAAAATTGAGGGTTTTTTTAGCAAGCAGAAGACGGCAGCTTGTTTGCAAGTCACATTAATATTTAAGACACAAAATACGAAATTTAAATGTGGCTAACGCGTGTGTAATTTGGTCAAAACTTCGTGAAATATGAACTATTGTTGCAGCTAGTGTTTTGTATTGACATGATGTCAATCCTGAGAATTTTATGTGCGAACACAGCTAAAATTTGCTGTTAAAATTGACATGTATCCTGGCTAAAGTGATAATGATTGTTCATCACCTTGTGGGGATGAACCCAGGGAACCAATTTCCTGAATATTACACTCATATTGGCTCGGTTATATAACAGTTGTTATAAAGTGATTTTGACATTTTAGATTTCCTCTTATCCAACCAGACATATCAATAAAACTTGGAACTGTACTGACATTCATTTGAAGAATCAAAAGGTAGGACATTAGGCCACAACAGTGTGTACTTGTGATATTGAGTAGCAGCCTAATTTCTCTGTTTGTTTTATTTTAGAAGCATTATGCCAACACAAGTGTCTATGTATATTACACTGATAATGATGTAAGCATTTTAAAATAATAGTTCTTTGCAACAAGTGTAGAATAACTTGCTTTGAATTTTCTTAACTAAGAATATTGCATAACTCAATTTATGTGTCCAATTCCTTTAGCCATATGTTTGCCATTTAAATCCTTTGCATTGTAAAAGGCCAACCCAACTGCGTAATGAGTAAGTTCTTATGTTGATGGTTCAGTTTTGCACTTGTATATTTCATTAAATTGATGTTTGCATCATTCAGGAATAAGAAAATTTTGATTCAATTACCAAAATATGGTGATTATAGTTACCTTCCAATATCCCAGTGGATTCATTTACTACAGGTAAGTATTTTCACTAAAATATTGCTTGCAGAACACTGGGTTGAAAGCTCAATTCCTTGTTCACTGTATGTCATCATGTGAAAGCATTTCTTTCAATTTATTTTTCCAGCATGGAGCTGTGGTCTTTCTGTATCATCCATGCACAAGCAAGGAAAATATTGACAAACTGCGTAGCATTGCAAGAAAATGTATGTGGAAGCACATTGTCACACCATATGAGCATCTGAATATCAGCCAGGTTGGTATACCAGGTACCATCAAGATTTTCAAATATATTCAGGATCATATTTATTCTGTTTATTCTATCACTTGACTTCAGCCAATTGCAATGGTTGCCTGGGCATCATTCTATGCGGATTCAAAGGTGAATGAGACAGCAAGTGAAACTTGGATAAAGAATAATGCAATGAGAGCTCCTGCTAGTCACATGATACTTAATGGAGGATACATTTTTAATTTGCTACATCCAGCAAAATATGTATCAGATCCCCTGGACAGCAAACTATGTCCAAAAACGCGTAGCCAGGTAAATTAATTATTTTTATCATGATGTTAAAGAAATGCTAATTTTTCTAACAACGCGATCTTAAACACTCCCCCAAATAATTCCTAAACTCATTTGAATCTTTATTTTAATCCAAAAATTACTCTGACGGAACCGATTCTAATTGATAATTAATTAATATAATTAGAGCACTAATGAGGACGATATGGACATTCTAAATGAACATTATAACTCTGTGTATGACAATGGTCGGTCATCGAAGAAGCTGAAAAAACATTTAATACAAAAAATCAAACATGGTTTGCGGCCTGAGAAACGATCAATCAACCCGAACAACGCCGCGTGGGCAGTTGCGTCCCTTCTCTTTCTCTGCCTCGTTCTTGTGTTTGTCTTGGTGTATACCAAACCGTGGAACGAACGAGATTATTACTTGAAAGAGAAAATGGCGTCAAGAAACAATAATACTGGCTTCAGTTTGATTAAGAATCATTTCAACAGAGGAAATAGATCTTGGCGACAGCTGGCAGAACAACAGAGAAACGCCTCTGTTTCACGGAGGTTACTGGGACCGATACATGAGGAAGATGAGGACTTCATGGATCTTTGATGGATATCTTGGAGTATATCTTGTATCGAGAGGTATCTTGGGATAATTTTTTTGGATAGATGTAAGATAGTATTTAAATTACTCTCGGGCGAATTTCATAAAATCGTTTTTCGATCGCTACATATCGAATTCCACAATCTAAAGACGTTTTGCTGAAAAAAAAAAATTCTAGAGATTATATCTGTGAGCTAAATCTCACAGAGTTAAAATGTTTTTGGCAAAACACTGTATTGATCATTATCTCACCACTTGCAAGAATTGATTTCCTCTTTAATCTAACTTGGAATCCTCGTACACTAAGACTCCGTTAGTCCAGAGAGCGGCTGATTCAGATTTCCATCTCATTTCAATCATGTATAAATGTTGAATTTTGTAACTATTTATAATTCCAGAGCAATTAAGATTACATAGAATAAAACCTGCTTATATGTTTCAAGTAATTTTATTATTGAAATTCGAATTAAATAGAAAATATATTACACTCGATATATATAAAATTTCATACATGTTTAAATAACACAATATTTAGATGATATATACAGTAAGATTAAAATAGCCTATTAAATATCTGTTATTAAAAAATAACTAAATATATATAAATATATACATCTCTTTCGCTATCTACTCGTTGGGCAATTGTGAAGATTCAGTTCCTGGATTGTTTTGTTCCAAAATCCCTCATTATCAACACCAGAAATCTCTGTAAATCTTTCAGTGTTGTCAAGGTTTCTAAGCGGTTATTAGCTTCTGAATTGATTTGTGTCGTTGTCTTTGAGATATTAATATTGAAAGACCTCATCTATAATCGTGAGAAGTGAGGAAATTAGCGATTTTTCCCAGGTCTTAATTTGCATCAACTATTCGGGTCGGACGAACCGCACCCATGCACGTCTTTCAACGTTGCACATTCCATAGGGATGATTGAAATCTATGAATATTGTTGAAAATCTGCCAAATCAAAATACTTACGAAGTAATGAAGCGAGTGTTTAAGACTTTCTAGTCTCAGCTGGATCATGGTTAAATCTATCAACAGATTTTCACTTTTGATTTTCAGCTCCACGCGTTTTGCGAGTTTGATACGATGAAGAAACGATCTTAATACATTCAATTGCCAATTTAATCCATCTTCCTCCTAAAACAATAGAACAGAGCATAGATATATATATTCAGAATGAAACTAGTACAATGGTCCAGCTGTGGCGACGAATCAACAATTCGACCACTTAGAAAGAAATAAGTTGATCTCTCAGAAAGAAAGAAAGTGAATTGCTTACATTTCGAGTTCCTGATTCAAATACGTTTCTTAATCTGTACATTCTGTTGTGTCGTATTTTCAAACCATGAGAAAGTTTGTTTTCCTGAATTTAAAAATAAAAATAAATATTTCCTATTCATGCATGGAATCCAGAATTTTGCTTCACGATAAACCTCCAGGTGCCTGAGTTATGTTGGTCTATTTCAATAATTCGTATTTCTTGGTATGACTTACCAGACTCTCTTTTGTTTCAAAAACCTTCATGGAAACATGTAATGCTGTTTGATAGAAATTACGATAGTATGCTTGTTGAGTGATCATCCTGATCTCCCTGTTTGTCGTCGCTCGTGCCAAGGCTACTTCCATCCCAGTGACGGTCAATAGAAATGCCATAATAATTTTCATTTCTGTAATTTATATAGCTGAAAAAGGAGAATAAATCGTTATATTCTGAATCGCACTTTGTGAAATCTAGTAGTACTGAATTATTATTTTATAACGGTCTAGCAGGGGGATTAACCTTGTTCTGGTCTCCATATTTGTCATATTTCGCACAGAATGCTGACGTGAACAATATTAACTAACCTGAAAAAGTAATGGTAATATATGGCCATATATACAAATAAAATGTCTAAATATCTGGAATGGTCAACTAATTTTATTACTAAAACGAGTTCCACTTACAGTTCAATTCTTCTAAGTCCTTTTGTGAATGCTTGATATTTTATTTCTGACATTCTGACTTTCAATTTCATCTTTTATACTCTCTCTACAAATGTGCAAAACCATTTTGCGCAGGCGCGATGTTCGTGGTGTTAAAAATAAATCATGGGTTATCCCCGCTTTTATTTTCCGCGTCCACAACTGTACAACTTTCTCCATTCCAACTTCATGTATTTAATTTCAACCAAGTTTACTTCAAACAAATTAACCTTATTACTACATTAAAATGGCATTTGATTTGTTAAACAAAAGTGAGAGAATTAAGCTAAATTTTAATTTAAATATTCGTTTAAAAAGTTGAAAAGATGGGTTAAAAGGCGCTTCAGATAGCGTCCAAGGCAGTATCAATGGAATTTTACACTGTTATTTCCCGGTAATCTGTCTGTATTGTGAGGTAGTTCCTGACGGAACCGGAACAAAGTAAAACACTCTCTAATTCTAATGATTTAAATTGCAGTCGTATAAAGTTCTCTTTTAGAGACTTCTATCGCTTGAGTAACTCTTCTTAATTGTTCACTCAGCGACTAAGAGTTAAGATCGCTTGGTTGAAGAATATTCAAGCCCTTTATATGGCAGTCAACCCTTTCTACGACAGTCTACGAAGGAGAGGTTTGTTACTCGCGTCCAGTATAGATAGATCACGAACGATCATTTAGTGAACTTTATTTAACTAAGAGTTTACTGAGCCGGGTTTCCAGTGATTGCTAAAGAACTATCGCGATTGTCCTGGAGTTTAATTACCTGTATATTTGGAGTGACACGCGCTAAACGCGTGCAATCTCATAACTCTGGCATTCAACTCCCACCTACGGCAACTAGTCATAACCTGAGCCATTTACTATGAAAACTATCGACGTGAGAAATTGAAGGTAACGTGAAAATACGCATTTTTTTACATGAAAGAAACGTTTGTGAGGTTTGATTGCGGGCTTTGATTGCGGAGGTGTTCCGAAGGCACGGTGACCTCCAATCAAAGATCTGGACACTCAGCCATTTGAATCTTATCGTGGATTTCAATGATAGTACTGCATGAGGTTGGTGCATGGTAATCTTTAAAAACAAGTGAATTGAAAAGAACTCTGATTCTCTCATTTTATACCAGATATTCCACTACGTATTAAAAAGAGACGGTAGTAAGTGAATTCTCATATTCATTGAGATAACCGCGGATTCCGTCGTATCCGCTATAGCGGAAAAAGAAGGGCTGTCTTGGTAGTTGCGTCAGACGCATTACGATATTTTGGAACTAATGCATCATTGTAAACATTTCCAGTAGATTCGGAAGAGTGAATAATGTTTGTATGAGAATGATACAATTATGTAAAGTGAATATTGCTTCAGGGAGAATTTTCCTGCTTCAAGCTACGAATACAGTCCCAAGTTTTCTAGAACATTTGGCAATGGCTACTTCAGGTGTGTTAAAGAAGACCATCTCTCCAATATTCTTCTCTGTGAAAACAGATATCCTCATCTACAACTATGCCGGGTTAGTTTTCTCAGAAGAATGAAAGGGTAGTAAAAAATATTCAAAGTTTTGATCATTTGACTGGAAAAATTCAAAAATATCCATGTTTTGTTATTTTTGCAAAGTGTCGTCGTGTAATTTCTGTAATTATCCTCTCATCTCTGAACCCAATTTTGGAAATCATTTTGTGGAAAAATTCTAAATTTCCGTGATTTACGTGAAATATTGGTCACGAGTGCAATGTCACGAACAGAGAATGAATCAGAGAACTGGGGGTAAACGTGTGAGGAGAATATCAGCTTGATCAGCATATTGCTTAATGTGAAACATGACCACGAATGATATTCTCCCAACGTGTTCATAACACGCGTGGATCATGACAGCAAGCCGATAGTCAGAACGACGAGGAGAAAACATCGAATGAAAATTGTATCTTTTTCTCCTTTATTTTTTTTTAAGGTCAATGAAACTCCTTTGTGATTGAATATATTTATAGTTTGGATAGTAAGTTATTTCGGAGGTGTATTTATTTGAAAGAAAGAGGAAAATAATGCTGGGGAATATGGCTTAATGGCCGGTGTAGTTCGAAGGACAAAGGCTAAACTAGATTATCAATGAGCAACTCGGCTAGCCCAAGAATGAAACGGGGAATGGCTAGTCGAGGCGGCCCTGGCAGGTAGGCAATGCTTTTTCTGTTATCTAAAACCTTGAACTCTGTCCTAACTACAAATAAACCGTGATGTATTGTTTATTTTCGAACATAATTCACTGCTTTTATGTTGTTTTGGCGTTGTATATAAACCTGTCATCTGCTGTTTCGTCACTTCAATTCACTTTTGGACAGTTTAAAGCACAACCTGTGTATCTAGAGGCCTTCTTTGTTATTTTGACAAGTCGTTGTCTTACAGATTTATCAAGGATAATGTAATTTGGGGGTATAATATTGATTTTCGAAATCTAGAATCATATTATGAAATTAACTTTATCCACGTGCGTCTTTTAAAATGAGCGACGATTAAGTGAAGTTTGATTGTATTTTTTAGGGGAAGATATAAATCTCCTTCAGCTACAGGGTCGCAGCAAAGCCAGGTTCGTAAGCTTTGCTTTAAAGTTTTGTTGTAGGAATTGAATTGTGGTGAAGTTGTTTGTGTGATCATTAATGTTATTAATTAGCATAGATTAAAGTTGTTCTTGAAATTTTTAATTTTAGACCTTGGAAGGTCTCTATTTGAATGAAAGGCTTGTCAATGCAGTTACATCAGTTGTGGTAAGCGATGATATTATTTTTCTACAAATATTTGTTAATATATTAGTCGGGTCAATCAACATTGCATAATAATAATGGCTTGGAGTATTGTTTGGTAGGGGGCATCTGTCTGGGCAAAGAAATAGTTTTCAATTCCTGTTTAGAGCTGTTGTAGCTTATCAATCTAACATTTTCTGTTTCTTTTGTACATTAGAAAATAAAACATGTAGACTCAATGCTGCATAGGAACAAATAAACCGCTACAATGAGCTTACCAACTTAGTCGTAAACTTGAGTATGAAGTAAACTTGAGTGCATTTTTGGGGCCTTGTCAACCTGAACCAGGTTGAGAAACTTGCTTCATCTTGCAAATAAACTGTAGTTGCTGGTCTGATCGACTACAGCAAGTATTTCTTGACATTTGTTTGTTTGTTTTTTTGTCAAATGAACAAGAAGTCCCCAAGTTTTCAACCTGGCTTGTCAAACTTGCAAGCATTGTTCATTTGGAAGAATGATATGTCTTTATTTGTTAAGGCTTTATCATAATTATGTTCACATAATTTTTGATCAAATATTGACTCTTTAGTATGATGTAAGTATTATAAGGTCAATTTTTTTATTATTTGTGACTTTCATACCAGGGTTGTACTGCAAAAGTGACAAGCAAAAATGGAAAACAGTTTGAAGGTGTCTTAAAAACTATTTCCCCAGAGGTAATACAGCTTTCAAAAACACTAAAGAGTTACTCAGCTTTAAAATATTGGAAATTATTTTGAGTACTGAAATATGTTCTTATCTTTCAATCAGGCTAGTTTAGTTCTTGCAAAGGCAAACCAGGTTGAGGAACAGAGGCAAAATGGTGTGGTTGTAAGTGTTTTAATGTTATCATTTGAGTCTGTGAATAAACAGAGATCAATATGAATATCTTTTCCATTTAAAACATCGTTCAATCATTGTTCATCGTACAATGTTCATCTGCTAGGATGAAGTCCTACAAAAAGGTGAAATCTTTGAGCAGTTGGTAATGCATCATAAAGACTGGGTTTTAGTTGAGTTTGAAAATGTCAATTTGGAGGAATGTTATAGAAAGGGTATGTTTGTTTGTTTCTTAGTCATAGGTTTATATCAAAAACCACAAGAGACCTGTTATTATATTGCCATCATTTTTAGATTCATTCAAAACAGATAATGCTATTAGCAGTAATAAAAGAATGAATGGACAGACTAGAAGAGAACTTGAGGTAACTCAATTTTAGAAAAGGATCCAATGTGGTTCTGTAGAGAGGGTATTAGAATGTATGTTTTCTCGTTCTTTCATCCTTTAGCCAGAGTTTCAAATAATTGTTGTAATATGATTTTGTTTGATAGAGATGGGAGCCTGATGGTGCTGAGCCATTAGAGTCAACTTTGGAAGGACATCGCATGGTAAGTCTGTACACTAGTCCCAAATGAAAAAATGAGCTTTTAGATTTTAAAATTTTCTTATTTATAGGAAAATGGCTGGAGTGCTGAGAAAATGTTTGAAAAGAATGAGAAAATGGTGAGCTATTGAAAACCTACATTGCATGTGCAAAATTTAAACACAAGGAAAAAATGAACTGATTTCTTTTTTCATTTTAGTATGGTGTAAAGTCGACATATAATGAAGAAATGGAGGAATATACGTAAGTACTTCATCTTTTTCGGGTTAGAATAAAACAACTTGAAAATAGGAAAGTAACGTTCAAAAATTAAATATTATTTCTGCAGGACTAAACTTGATAAAGATGACACACCAGAGTACAGAGAACGAGAAAGGTTTGCTGCACAAAAAGCTGAAGAAATCTTCAAGGTATTTTACACAAGTATTGTCATGTACTTCAAAACTGGTGTAATGACTTTTCTGCTTGTAATTCTAGGAAAGTCCATATGAACGAAACACACTTGACAGTGGTAGGTCAGAGGAGCAATTGTACAGTTCCGTTGTGAGAAGTAAAAATTTCGGGGACAGGTCATCGGCACCAAACTGGAGACAACCTCATGGTGATCGACCGCCACCCGAACATGAACAGAGATCAGCGAGAATGCCACAAGAAGCTTTTGGATCGCCCGTAACTTCAAGGAAGGAACTAAGTACGTTTAAATTGGCTTTAAAATATTAAGAAAGCGTAGTTTGATTAACTTTTATTGTCTTTTTCCAGTGAAAACTCAACAGGTTGACGAGCCACCCACAGTTCAGGTATGCACACAGTAAGCATATAATATCCTGGTAATATATTGCATTTTTCATATAAAATTATGTTATTTGTAGGTCAAAAAGAATATTGAAAAGTCAATAGCAGAAATTTCTTTGGAATCAAAGCCAGCAGACCAGAAACCAGAAGGTATAGTTTAGAATATTTAAGTCTGAAAATTTAGACAATCCATAGTTTGTAAATGTGTTGTTTCTATGATTGTTAGCATTTACTGAGGTTGTAAAAGCTGAAACAGTATCCACCCAGAGTCAATCAAAACCTCCATTAAACACTGCTATCACCCCCGAGAACACTCCTGTTATCCCTCAAGTGTCAGCACAATTATCCAGTGAAGCACCCAATGATACTCCTAACATCCCAGAGGTGACCCAAGTAAAAGAAAGAAGTCAAGATAATGTTATTGATGGTCTCAAAGAGTTTCATGAAAACTTCAAGGTGAAATGGAAATTCTTTCTCTATAACCAAACAGATGGTCTAGCTCTGTGGTAATTGTTACTCATTTTGACTGTCCTTTCTATTTTAGCTCCAGGAATCAAAGAAGAAAGGAAAAACGAAAAAAGTTTTGGAGGAAGAGGAAAAGACTCCAAATGAAACAACAGCTGAAGAAGTTAAGAATGAAGGTTTGTTTCATATGATTTTCAAAATACATATAAAAATTTCTATGATAAACAAAGGTGTTTTTCTTTTAGAGCCACAAACATTGGAAGATGCATCAACAGCTGAGTCAGATGCTGCTGACAAGAAAACAAAACTCAACCCAAATGCAACAGAGTTTCGTCCCAGAGTAAAACGAAATACTCCAAGCCCTGTAAGTCGCAGACGGCAGAATGTTTTCCAATTCATTGCATATATTGTGCAAGTATCAATGAAAATTTAATGTATTTCTCATAAAATTTTAAATCTTTTTAGAGATCATCAAGCACAGCTTCAAGCAATGGTGCACCATCTCCTTTCCAGAATAATAGTTCTCCATTCCTTCCCAGTCATTCTCCTTATCCACCCAATAACATTTACATCAACTCAAGAAATGGACCCCGGGGCAGAGGTACAGTAGGACCTTCATCAATCACTATAGATTGTGTCTATAAGTGCGATCCGTAATTCTATGTTGTGGAGAGCTGTGTATGAGCTGTGTATCTCAAGAGAAATTTGGTTTCTAAATGTGTAATGAAATTATATTGCCGGCTTTGTTAGGCATAAGACAAGATTTCATGGACCCAACAACAGGATATGTGAACGCTTCAAATGCAGCAGGCCAACCATTATTTGCTCATCACATCCCTCCACAATTTATGCATCAAACATCACCTCATGGTATGGGGTATATGCCCCCTGGGGGTATCCGTCATCCAGGGATACAACACCCAGTGTTTATACAACAACACCCACACCAAGTGATGGTCCCTTTAACTCATGGTTATCCTGATAATGCAATGTATTATGGTATGTATACCTTGGGACAATTTTGATTTGAAGTTGATTGAGCTATCTTTAAACTAGTTTGGAAGAACAGTTAAGAACTGATGAAACTATCCAGTATAAACAAAGTTTGTTTAATTCCAATGGTGTGACTTGTGCAACTATTATTTCAGGTGCTGTGCCAATGATCCAGAGTCCTCCCCAGATCACTTCACCATCTTTACAACAGTCACAGTTCAACTTCCCTACACCATCTCTTCCCCAGCCAGTGCGTCCTGTTAACCAACCTCCAGCAGTTATGCCACCACAGCCTACTCCTCCCCCTGTGTTTCTTGTGAGGCCAGCAACCAATGAAATGCAACCCACTCAAATAATAAGTAAGTAATTTGGATGGTTCTTCTTTGTGCATTCAATTGGGTCTCTTTCTGGGAGAAAGGAGAAAATATTGGGCATTTAAATAAATGCAAAGAATGGTGGAAAAACGAATGATGGTGGAAATGTTTGGCTGAGTTTTGGGTAGAATTTAGATCTGCACCATTCAAAAAAGAATTTTGTCCATCAATATGGAATGTCTGATTTGACTTTTAAATAATTGCAGTAGTTTAAATGTCCACTTCAGTCTTGAGTACTTAACAAGAAGTACTAATAATGATGGCTGCTTAAGAGATTTCATGCATGAGTTGAATGTATTCTGGAACTTGAAAATTGGTCTCCTCATGAAGAAATGTAATATTTTTAGATAGGCCATCTCAACCACAGCCATTTCAAGGAAATTAAGGTTGCTTCTCTTTCCAGAGGTAAGCTTTGGTGCCTAGTTCAGTGAGATGTTTGCGGTGAATAAAATACACTCCATTTTGAAATGATCATAACTTTCATTTTATTTCAGAATTTCTTGTAAGGAAATCAATAGACAAGAAGCCCAAAGTCTGAGAATAAACATTATAGTCCAAATGAAAAACGGCAAATAAATGTTATTTTCAAATGTTTTGAGTTTGTTTTGAACATAGTTATGTTTTGAACCATAGTCAGTAGGCTGTATGTACGAAGAAATAGTATTGAGTAAATTTTTTTATTTTCAAGTGGCTAGTTTGTACAAAATTGTATCTCGGAACGAACTATTTCGGGACTAGTGCTACTGGTCATGGCTACTGGTCATACCCATTGAAAAACTAGTTTTGCAATGATGGAAGTGATGGAACTAACTAGTTCTGGTCATAATCAACCACTCAACTAACCAGTACTGGTCATAACCATTCAACTAACCAGTACCAGTCAGTTCACTGGTACTAGTACATATACTGGTCATAACTACTGAGCGCAATGGTTTTCTGGACTTGTAACCTTATCTGGGAACGCCCCTTACTTCATCTTTCGACCAATCAGAGTGCTTCATTTTGCAGCGGCAGATATAAAATATAAATTCTGCCATATTGGATGTTGTGAAATGCTTCACGAACAAGCAAAGCTTGTATTTGGATTGTAAAAATTGTAACTAAAGCACTGGTTCTGTTTCAAAACGATTGCGATTTTGGTACAGAGTAAAAATCTTAAATTATGAGTTCAAAAGTAAGAGGTAAGGTTAAAAAATGTGAAATATTTTGACGTATACACAGACTTGTAAAGCTCAAATAGATTTTTGTAAACTACATGTACCTGAATAAAGTATTTCATTGTTCCTTATACCTTGATTCATATATTATTTATATAATTTAGAGTCTGGAAAGGAAGACAAAAACTCAGAAACCACTGGGAAGTGTGCAGGAAAGGTTAACATACTAATATACAAAACTACAAATGTCACTCATATGAGTCATATCCATGTTTGTTCATCAAAAAATGCGGGGAAATAGCTTTATTTGAGAAACCTTGTAATATTTAGTAGAGTCGAACGGGTTTAATAGCTATGGGAAAGAGCCAATTGCTGCTGTGAATTCCAAGGATATTGGGTAGCATGTTTTTTATTTATCCTTATATAGTCTCCATCAACAAGTATGGCATCCCCTCCAAGTAAATTATCTGCCATCGCTAAATTTCTTAAAAGTCCTCGTAAGCAAGTAAAGATAAACGAACAGAGTGAGAAAACAAAATCAAAAACAAGTAAATCTAATAAAAAAGGAAAAATGAAAAACATTAAAAGCCCTAGCAAAGGTAGTCCAGTTGTTGGAAGTAAACCCACAACCAGACAAGGTTCGACTCAAAAGCAGGCTACATTGGAGGAAAATAAGCAAACTTTGCATGAAGAAAAACGAGATTCCCTTGAAAAAAAACAAGGCAAGGGTTCTTCAAGTGATCTTGCTCAAGACGAGGCTCGGAGCATTCCCTGTAGCCCTGACATGTCAAAACACCAGGATGTTGTCAGTACTCCTGATCGCACCATTGGCAGTGGTAAAAAATCAATGGTTCAAACAAGTTTGTCAACAACAAAAGAATTTGTTGAACTTTTGTCAAGCCCAGAGCATCCTCCTGTTCACAAGAAAAAAGGACGAAAGACTAGGTAATGGTCACCTTATTCTCTGAAGCAAAATTAGTAGAGAAGTTCATTTCAGAAAATGTTTCACTTTGATAACACAAATTTAGATCCAAAAAAAAGGAGAAAGTGGATAAGAAACAAACAAGGATCACAAGTATTTTCCCATTGCGGAAAAGCACCAGAAAGACAAAGTCTCAACAAGAGGTAAGAGATGAGGGGTTTCTGGTCTAGTTACTGTTTAGAACACATAAAATATATATCTTGAATGTAAAATATAACCGTCCATTCACTTTGGTTTTAAGAAAGATGAGCAGGAAAGAATAACAAAGATAATTTTATCAAAAAAGTTTGAAGGCTTAGAGGTAAAGGTCCATGTTTTACTGACTATGTTTTCATTGTTGAAACTGCATATTACCATCTTTCATGTGTTTTTAAAATGTAAATAATCATAATTTATTCTTTTTAAACCTAGGTGCGAACAACAAAAGGAAAGGAGAGGAGTGTTTGCAACCCATGATTTTGAAAGAAATGAGTTTGTATGTGAATACTCGGGAGAGTTGATAACTTACGATGAGGCAAAGAAGAGAGAGACAAGTTACAATGAAGATAAAAATATTGGTTGTTATATGTATTACTTAGAGTTCAACAATAAAATATTGGTGAGGATTGAGTCAACAATGGTTTCTTTCCTCACTTGGGATTTGTAGGAATAGTGACACATTTGATGATTACTTTTATTTCCGATATTTTGCAGTATTGATGCTACAGCAGAAGATGGAACATTGGGCCGATTAATAAACCACAGCAGAAAAGGAAATTGTAAAACTAAAATTCACGACATTGATAATCTACCACATCTTATTTTTGTGACAATGCGTCGTATCAAGGCTGGGGAAGAATTGTTGTATGACTATGGTGAGAGAAATCGAGATATCATACAATCACATCCATGGCTTGAGAGTTGAAATCCTAAACACAATGGTCTTTAAAGATAAGTGAAAGATGAGTAACTGTTTCTTCATCTTGTTCCCCTCATCTTGTTTCTACAAGCTCAATTGACTTCATGTAGTGCTCATTGATGATAGTTTTGTTGACAAAAGAAACAAGTGATCACAGAATTCATCTAAATGTGAGCAAGAGTTTGAAGTAATATAATATTGAAGTTTGTTGTATATAGTATTGAAGTTTGTTCAGAAAAGTTTAATAAAAATTTGTGTTTCTACTGTGTTTTCACTACTTTGGAGCTAACATGGAAATGTCACTAAAACTTGAAATGTATGGTGTGAGAACATATTGTTTCTAGATATCTTTCCGCCGCAAATCAACCAACTTAGAAATTTTATTCATTATGAACAATAAAACAAAAAAATTTGATCAGCATTCATAATATGAATGAATTTTCAGCGAATATTGAAAAACTGAATGCAAATTGTGCACTAGAATCTAACTCTTAAATACCCTAACAATTCTCACAATATTTTGCCTACACATTGGGCATTCTCTGAGTTTTCTCCCGCAATCAACACAAGTCAAAAGGTGGCCACATTCCAGAAATACGCAGTCAATCACATGATCCATGCATATCTTACACACTTCATTTTCTCCTCCTGGTGTTCCCAGGTTCTCACTTGAACTTGGGGTGGCTGAAGAAAAAGGAAAATACAATGATACATTGATATCCAAACTCTTACAGGTCATCCGTATTCATCACTGGTATTGCTTTTACCAAATGAAGTTGTGTTCCACTCACCATTTTGCTGCATTTTCTTCGATTCCCAAAGCATCGTCACACGTTGAACTAGTTCTTCTTTCTCAACGCAGCCTTTATAATCCACATAATTGTCATCTAAAAGAACTTTCAGTTCTTTTGCAGATAACTTTCTGATATCACTTCCATCATTGAAGCTCTCTAATGATATTTTGGATCGGCTCCCACCTGGAAATATTTTGATGATTTTCATGTGAATTTTCATGGTAAAATATGCCTGGTTTCATGTACAATTTTCATATTTTACAACTTGAAATGTATAAGATGTACTTACTGGATTTGGGTTAACACAGGAAGGAGTGAAGTTTTCATTGGGTGTATATTGTTGATAGATTGGAATATCATGACTAGTTTCATTTCTATTGTGTATCTCGTGTTGGCTTGGTGGTCGCAAACCCATTGCTCCACTCTCGTCAAATTGAAACACTGATTCAACGAAACGATGAATTTCAGGATTAATGTGAATTCCGCTGAAGAAATCGTTTAAACCCTGAGATGAATTATGCGATTGTGTGCGAGCTTGTTGCTGACTGGATGAGGATGTTTGTGAATTAATTGGAGGTTGATTAAAACGAGTTGCATTAGGTTCATTTGTACCATGTTCGGTAACTGAGGGTTCATTAACTGAGGGTTCATTAACTGAGGGTTCATTAGGTGTTTCTAGTTCTACTTGTTGTCTTGCTTGATGATTAATCATGACATCAACTAAATCCTGTTTCTCTGTGCAACCAGCTGAAGAGACATTTCTCTGTTCCAAGAATGCTTTTAGTTCTTTCACTGACAACAGCATGAGTTCGGACCTTATAAACGGTTGTGAAGACAAAGCGTGGCATTTAAGACATTGCTTAATGTTCCTACGAGGAAGATTCTCCCCCTTTTTAAAGCATGGCGAACAATACTGAAGTCTGCATCTTATACAGCGATTCTAAAAACAAAACAAAAAATATTTACGATTGAAAAATCGCAGGGAAGAATTACATTTCCGTGAACATGTCATATTATAATCTAAAACGTACTGAAATAAACTTTTGACACTATTTTCGGCTGAATCAATATTTTCAGTACTCTATACTTAAACGTAATATACACGAAATTTCGCTGCATCATTCTAGATAAAGTAAGATGATTCTAAAACCTTTCAATCTATTAAACCACAACCAAATTTTTGTATGTACTTACCTTTCGCTTGAAAAGAGTAAAATGCATTGAACAACCAACACAAAAAGCACCACTCATTCTCGTTGCTTAATACAATATATCTTATCAGAAAAATAAACAGTTAAAGCCAGATGATTCACAAATGAAGTAAAATATAAAGAATCCTTGTTATAATTTGGCAACCCAAGCTTGTAATAATTAAACTACAAAATGTTATTCTACCGGCGTTTCGTCATTATCGCCCTGGTGCATATAGTCACATATATAGGTCAGTGTCAATATGACAATATCTATGTTTCAATTTTCAAGCACCAACCTAATAAAATACTGCTTTAAAATTTGTCGTATTTTATTACTAAAAAATTCTTCATCTCAATCACAAAGTTGTATCATTTAAAACAAACTATTTTCATCTATATTTTTATACGATCAGGTGATATTAATAACCAGTCGCTCTGCCAAATTTACGTGAATCAGAAACGGCATAAATTCTTCCTTGTCTGTCAATCGAGATGGCCTGCACAGTGCTGCTGTTAATTAGAAATTTGTATTTATGTCCTAGTTTCTTCAAGCCATTCAGAATTGTTTGTTTCATTCTGTATCTCTTTGTTTTTTCAAGACGAATATAAGTGGGTACCAATTGATGATGTAATCTTGGACGTTCCACAGATTCCTCAAGATCTAATCCAAACCATAAATGATTAAGAAAAACCTGAAAAATTAACGCAGAGCAGTTATTCTTCAGTGATTCGAATTTTCGATTCACCTTTCGTAAGTTTCGTTGCCTTTAAAATATCTGACTCCCCCTCATGTCATCTAGTCATATGAATCACATATGCTTCCTAATTGCTCTCTCGTTTTGAAATCTCACTGCTCAATTTCTGCAGCTCAAAACTCGGAGATTAACTGCAATTTGCTCCCTACTCACCAGTGCTGTCCGGTTGTAATTCTTGTTCCTCCTGACGCTCCTAAGATAAATCTAGCGTTTCCTAAATCATCAACAGTCACACTAGGACTCATACTTGACATCATTCGTTTGCCTGCTTTGATGAAGTTCCTTGGCGAAGGTTCGACTCCAAATACGTTGACCAAACCAGGTGTGGAGAAATCGTCCATTTCGTTGTTATAAATGATTCCTAAAGTTGGTGACCTGATTTAGAGCCAAAACTAAAGAGAAGGAAATAAGGTTTCAACTTCATGAAGGTACGTTCACCAGATACGTTCAGATAGAGTCAATCAACTTCTTTTCTTTGTTCGTGTTGCAAAAATTAGAAAGCCCGGGGCTATTTCTGTTGACTCTTGACCTTATCCAGGGCGTGGCGGTATGTTGCACCTTCCCACACCCCCTGGTAGCCACGCCCCTGATCTTACCTGGTATTTATTGTGGATGTCAAAGCCACAGCGTCCCCATTTTTGGACAACACTGAGAGATGAGTTGTTCCGTCATCATTCCAGTCTGAATAAAAGCCGCCGTAATACGAGACATTGTGAATCTTATTGTCATCAATCTTTTTACGAAGATCTTCCGTGAACGATGCATTTGTCATGTTGTTTACAGTCTAGAATATAATATGAATGCTACTTTGATGGAACTATCTCGTACACTTGAGGATATATTTTACTTACATACCTCTCCGTTCCTTACATACCTCTTTTACTCCATCTTCATGATCAGGGTCCCCCAACAGAGCACGATAAGCGTAGGAAAATTTGAAAGCCTCGACAATACGATGATAGCTGCGGATCAAACTTTCATCGCCATCATGTCCTCGCTGGAAAATTGAAATCCTGAAAGAATATAATCAAAAACAATTTATGAATTAAAATATAAATCCCATCGGGAGTTCTCCTTGGAGGATGTGCTGCCTGATCCAGTAGCATTCTTAAAACATTATTTTAACATTCCAGTTCTGTGGTTTCATCTTCAGAGCTGTTATGCTAAGGTCTTGGTTGCCAACTGATTCCAACAACTTGGTTCTTAGTTAGATATTCAAAGATTATCTTGATTATCTTTAGCAAAAAACTCCTGGTATATTCAATCTGCACGATTGATTTCGCTTGAAGATGTTTTTACCTTTTAATATCTGCAGTATCATTGCAAATACCGGTCCACTTGATGGCGGTTGAGATGTCATATCGTGTGATTTTTGTCCAGATTAACCCTCAATGCGTTCTGTGAGCCTCGTAATTCCTTCAAGTCATCACAGTGTGATTATCCCTACCCTGAATGTCACTTACAATTCTTGCTATTGAATCTGCCATAAAAGCTCATTGGATCTTCAGCGAACTGATCTTAAGTTCCAATTCAGGATTGATCAGATCGTTCGTCGTTAACATTGTACCGTCTTTTCTAAAAGCAGTTTCCTGAAATGTATGGATTTTTAGCGCAGGTTGTTACAGTAGCGATGAATCAGAAACATATAAAATTTGAAGATTTAAAATTATTCAAAAGCACGTCTTTACCTAAACCCTGTGTCATTATATAAAATATCCTTTTTTGTCACCATTCGTCCATATAAGGCTTTGGAGAGGGGAAATCCATTCTTGCACAAATCTATAGCAGGCTGAACCAAATCTTTCCAAGGTAGTTTACCGTGTTCTTTCCAGGCTTTGTGCATCGCACTAACCTCTCCGGGAACACCAACTGCCAAAGCACCTACACAGAGGTAGAAAACCAGAACCAAACAGTTCTTTAATTAATCTCATGCCCGAGACCACTCAACAACCTCGTTCCCAGGGCCTTTTCCCAGCCCAGAATCAAGGTAAAAGGCCCCGGGAACGAGGTTGGGCCAGTCAAGACATATCTGTATCATGTCATGATTTTTCAATACCTTGTTTAGCAGCTAATGTGTTATTCACAAACATATCTCGGCTAGCATTGGATGGTGCCTTCTCACGACCGTTGTAAAACCATGCTCTTCTAGATTTTTTGACATACACCACCATGAATAATCCTCCTCCAATTCCGGAAGAATGTACGTTTGTAACGCCTTGACAAAATAAAGTTGCAATGGCAGAGTCAACGGCTGAACCATTTTGTTTGAGGATTTTTACTCCGATATCGGAACATTTTCCTACATCAGCTGCTACAGCACCATTCTTGTAGTACTTCTTGTCCGTTTCTTTCAATTCTTTGCTTTCCGAAAGTGTAAGAATGAGGACGACAGATATCAAAATTATCACGAGCAAGACTGTGATTGTCATAACTGGTAGAAGGATTTGTTTTCGTAAAATTCCCCAAACCATTGTTCTATGTATAAAAAAATATATTGCTATCCACCTGCCCTCATAGCCTATGAGATAATGTAAGTTTTCTAATTGTAAAATTGTGATAGAAATACATATATTCAGGGTTGTGATTCTTGAAGCAAGCATTACGGCATTGAACGTAATTTAATCCCGCTTGAACGCAGTATGTGATAAATAGTTTGCGCGCGCGCTGAAAGTCTTCGCGCATTTAAAATTTTGTTATTTAAAAAGTACCTGGCGTGTTTCAGTACTTGAAGCTGATCAAGATTTGGTAATAATTTGTAAAACAAATATCCTCAAGCTTGTATTGATCTTGTGCTGATTTTGCAGGACTGATTGATGGGCCACAGATTTACTCGTTACATAACTGAGTGCTGACATTATTTCGTAATTTTGATTAGCTGCATGGAATGTTTTAGCTCTACGATAGAAATCTAACACCATGATTGCTACCCGTAGACCAAGCGTAATGTTCAGAAATATTCCTGCTTTAAAAGGTGAGCAAAATCTACATTTTCAGTACCAAACCACCGCACCAGGTTCTCTTCCATGAATAAAATTGTGAATGTATTAAAAGATCCTCAAAACTCTGAGTTGCCATGTTTGATTATTTGTACAATTATTTGTTGCTCATCTTTTGACATATTCAGCTTGTATCAATAATCTATGATCAACTGAGCGTGTTTCATGAAGAATGTGTACATTTAAATATAATTTCTATTACTTTTAATATAAATATTTGTTTGAGGAGGGAGGACAGACAGTCACAGTCACACGGCAAGTATAAAGCTCGTGCAAACGTGTGTTTATATGAGAGTCAATTCAGTTATCGACCGTCATGCAAGGCCAAGAAAATCTGATTACATTCAACTTAAGACACTCGGTGAATCAGATCTCGCAGATATGCAACAAAGCCAAACGATCGTTTATCTTCTATCCTTTGTTAGGATATGAGTCGTCCTTTGGGTCAAAGATATGAAATATTGAATCGTAGCACCAGTAATTTGAAACTGCAGGGGGAACAATAAAAACGCATCTCGCTTACACTCATTTCAAAAATTTAAAAATGAAAATTAAAGCACAGCAAATGACTTTCACACGAGACATAACAAATTGTTCACAACATCTTCAGAGCAATTCAACTTATTTACAAGGATGGGTTTTATATATACACAATTTTTTAAGAGACGGTAAATTCTACATTTTTTTAGGTCTTGTCTGAAAGTCATTTGCTGGGCTTTAATTTTCATTTTAAAATATTCCACATTTCTTCAGTTTTTAGCTATTAATATGAGTAACAGCATACCATGTCACGTCGATAGTACAAGCAACCATTATCGGTCTACCACAGATGATGATTCACTTGATTCGTCTCTTGAAGAAATATTGGCTACGAACGAACCAAATCCTGAATCCAGTCAATCCAGTGCCTCCGAAACATTGGCTGAGTTATTCATGAACCGCAGGCGCCTCAAAGAAGCAGAGACGCAAGTTTGTTCTCTCAGCTTGATATTGCAAAATAGCAGTTCGTGTGATGCCGGTTCATGTATTGATCATGCGGTGTTTCGGGAGAATAAGTCTTCTCTTGAAGATGAAGTGATAAAAATGAGACAGGAGATATGTGAAAAAGAGTTGTTTTTAAAACAACGAGATGCGGACTTATATGCTAACTATTTACGTTCTTTTGAGAATGACAACAACGAAGGAAGTAAAAATCATGGATTTGATGGAAAAACACAATTCGATGAAGATCTTGTTCATGATTTGGCTAAGCAAAGTTCTGGCGAACAAGAATTCAAAGACGAAGATGGAATAGATGATGCTGATTTCCCACTGAAAAACGCAGAATTCAACATCTCTGATTTTGGATTTCAAGAAAGGGAGTTTGATGACGAGCAACAATATTTTGAAAGCAGTCCTAATGAAGTTACAAAGCTTCGTCGAACACTGAATAAGACACGAAGGAAGCATAAAGAAGAAAGAGATGCAATCATGAAACAGTTGAGAGCCTTGCAAATAACAACCGTAAACGGCGAAACAAACTGGCGATGTATCTTGAAGGAGAAACAAATAGAGATTGATGAACTTAGCAGAAAGAATGATGAACTGCAAGCTAGGAATAAAGAGCTTAACTTTGCCTTGAAAAATATCGAAAATTTGAAACACAAAGAAGCAAGAGAAAAAGAAAAAAGAGTTAAAAAGAATTCAAAAATTATTGCATCGTTGGGGAACCAGGTTTCAAGCAGCGATGAAAAGATTAATGAATTGTTGGAAGACGTCAAAAAAACGAGGACTATTAACCAAGAGTTGAATGGAAGAGTAGGACGGTTAGATGAACGAAACAAGGAATTAGAAAAATGTTTAGGTGAAAAGGATGAAGTAATTCAGAGCTTATCAAAAGAGATTCAAGACACGAACTGTTTGGTAAACAAGCTAATAATAGAAGTGAATTGCGTGAGCTTGGATAACGAGAGTTTGACGAAGCAAATTGATGAACTTGAAACGGAGAATAAGGAAGGTTTGGAAGACGTTGATGGTGTGAACCATGCTTCAAGCTCTCTCATTCATGTTGGATTGCAAACTGAAGAATGTTCATCTCCAATGCAAGATGAATTGAGCAAACTGCAGGGGGAACTAGCGTCAGAACGCAAAGCAAAGTCTGTATTATTTCAGCAAATTAATGAACAAAAGAAACATGTCGAGTGTTTGAGAGAAAGCGAAGTAAGATTTCAGAACGAATCAGAAAAATGGAAAAGCAAGTCGTTTCAAAACGAAAGGTACACGTATGCATTTGTCGTTGAAAATCTAACATTTCGTGTTAAGGCGAGACATTTAGGACCCATTTCAAGCTATAGTTTAAACAATTAAACTGCTTTAATTACCTTGCCTTGCCTTTAAGATAACTCAACATCTTCTTTTTCTAAGCATCGAAGCAACGCGTTCGTTTTCGTTGATTTAGAACCATCCAAGAGCTCATTATTTCCCTTGGAAAAGCAACGACAGAAAATAAATCATTCTGTGAGAGAAATCTTGATAAACACGGAGAGGTGCTGAGTGAAGACAGAAAAAACTTTCCTCATTTCAAAATGCTTAAGGAGCTGAAGTATGTGTTCAAATCAATGAATGTTATGTTTACCTTTTCAGAAAAGGCAAACTTGTCACGGCGTATTTCTAAAGTGTTAAATTTTCTCACAGATCAGAATTAAGTAGTTTGCAAGAAGATATTTTCAAAAACAAAGAAAATCTTGATTCACTACGGAAAACGTGGAGGTGAAAATCTTTGTATTTTTCCCTGCTTTCAACGCCAAGACACTGATATATTTCTTCTCTTTTAGAAAATATGAAACTGAACTTAAAAGTGAACATGAATTCTGTTAAAACCATTGAAACAGGGAGAGGAGGAGGTGTCCATTTTTTGCAATATTGTACAATGATATAAATAAAACATAAAATTAAAATATAAGTTAAAAACGATACCTATGAATATTATGGATCATGATTAGTAACATGTTACATGTGGCTACAATTATTGATATTACATGACGTTCCCGGCTGGTAAGTCATGTGAGTCTTTAAATGAAAGTTCGATATTTTTGTGTTTTTTTTTGCAATAAAAATGACATTTCAAAGATTTTGTCAGAGATAAATATGTACCGTTGAAAACATGGAGGCAATGCTGCAAAATAGGTGATTATACCTTTCGGGTTTTTTTTGTTTAATGCTTATCTTTTAAATCAAATTTAGTCGTATTTACTATTTATATCATAATATTTGAAGTATGTGAATACACGTATATATAAAACTATATACAATTTACCAATCTACCTTTAAAATCGAGTGTTAGTATCAAAGCTTCATATCCTTGCCGTGTGCAGAGGATTCTCTCTTTCAATGCTTGTTGGCTCATCTGTGTACCAAACCAGCCTTGGATCAGAATTCACCCTACCTAGCTTGCATTTATATCAAGTATCCGATGACCTATATTTCCTATTTTTTGGTAGATTCGAAGGATCAATTTTCTTTGTCTATGATCGTCATTTCCTGCAGAAAGAAGAGGACCTCCTGGAGGATGCGATCATTTATTTTTATCCACATTCTGTATGTTATATTTTTTTCACAAGAGCCAGCCTTGGGCATGGTTAACTCAGTTCAGCCCCAATTCATTTGAATACAGAATGATTAGCAGCAACGATAACCTAGACTACCTCTTGCTTGGCTCCATTCGGAGCACTCCAGGCCTATAGGTATTTGCCCCCGCTACCCCCCCTTGCACTTCCCAGACTTGTTTCAATCTCTGTAATAGACTGATGCCAGATTGATCCACCATAATTATATCAGGTTTTTACAAAGAAACTAGGTTCAGCACCCTAGGGAAAAACATTGATTATAACTGGGCATTGCCGTGAACTTCATTGTGTGATCATACCCCAATACAATTGTCTTTTGTGTTTTAGATGCCAATAGACAACCAGTGTAGATTATGTGGTCAGCTAATGGGTCTCGTTCAGTTCACTGATTCAGTGTTCGGTTCATGCCCAGCGTTATTTCGGTTCGACAATGAAAAAATTGCAGTCAAACATGTTGGAAAATATTCATTAGTAAGAATTATATTTATTGTATCAATTGATCAAAATTAATTACAAATCCAGGTACAGAATAATCAAGTATGAAAAATTGTATCACATTTTTCTAGGCATTGGCAGGGAATTCATTTGAACCAGATTCAGCTTTACTAGCCACGGTTGATAGATTATATTTCCTCTTTGCATTCTATCATGGATCTATTAACCAAGTGGAATTGGTAAATATTACTGCTTCAATATTGATAGTGTGCCTCAATGATTTGTCTTGGTGTGTGTCTTAATTTTGCTTATCTTTGCTGCCTAGGAATGTGACAATGACAGGGAAAAATTCATCCCAGAAATTCATGTGATTTGGGAACAATATTTAGCATTTATCCGCAATTATGGTGACAATCTTCCTTCAGTATTCAATCCTATTTCATACCTACCTTTGAAGAACGTAAGGAAATGTGAAAAAAGTTTTTTTATGAATTCATGGTATAAAACTATCTCAATATCTTCTTTCCAGGATTTGAATTTTTACTTTTTAAAAGCATCACACATCTTGGAATCTTGTCAGCGTCGACCACAGATTATTGCTGGAGCGATACTTTATAATAGATTGTATGTGATCTGATGTGACTTTTTTGTAATTGCCACAGATTAACTTTGTAATTTCCTGTATTTAAATTTCTAACCAATATATATTTTAGTATTCTGTGCAGTCATTTAACAGACCCAATAACAAGATGTCTCTTATTACTAAAACCAAATCAGGAACATGTAAGTTGACAAATGGTTATTCTTGCTCTGAATAATTTCAACTCATTTATTTTTATTTGTTTTTTCAGCATCCAGCGATGCCAATTGAAACAGGTGGGTATTTCATCCAAACTATTTTTTAAAGAACAATGATCGTTTATTGATTATGATTGATTATATTGATTTGATTTCTTGCTAGTAGATAGATTTTTTGAAATAGAATTTGTAAACCCAGTCACTCAACTCTGTCAATATAACATCTAAAATGGGTTGGAATTGTTCTCTAATTTTGTATACCCAGGTTACCAACTACCATTTGGTGTTCGGCTGTTCAATGTGTATTTGACAAGAAATGACTTGACAGAAATTCTGGTAAACAATGAAAACTCTCCTTATCAATCTCCATCTGAAGAACCATTTTGTTGTTGCTGCAGTGAAAACAAAACACCGAGGAGTAGAACTCCCAGAATGCATATCAGGAAAGTTGGTTCAACCACACCTCAACCTAAAGTTGAGTTAACCCAGAGTGAGAAAGATCCGCTGCATTCATCAGATAATTCCAGTTCAAAGCTTTGTAAAGCGATGTTGGAAGATTTATTATTGAAAGGTTTTAGATGTTGCAAGTGTATTGAAGAAACTGATGGAGAATTGGAAGAAGGGAGTTCGTTTGGTGATGAAAGTGTTTCTGAATGCAAGGAAAACAAGAGGAGTCAAGAAAATGCGTTGATACCTTCCACAGAAGATAGGAATTGTAACAATATAGAAGAGGCAATAGAAGAGTGTTCTAGGAACTCTGCTGATTCTAGCCAACCTCAGCTTTCTCAGAATTCTGTTGTGGAAGCTGAAAGTGGTATCGAGGTTACAGGGAGTGATTTTCACAGCAGCGCTGCAACAAATCTTGATCAACCGTCTGCTAGTTTCTCTTACGTGAAATATCAAGAGAAAAGTCGGAATTTTAGCGGATGTTGTGAAACAGAAGAAACAGATAAGATTGCAAGTCACTTGGAGGGCAAACACGATATCAGGGGAGAGCAAAATGACCTGGAATATGCTGACAAGGAACCAACGAAACATTCGTCGAATAATGAGTTGATTAATCGCGATTATGATATTGTTAATTTACCCCAAAACGAGCAGAAAGATGAGGATAATACCTCGTATGACTCGGACCATGTTACTGCGGGAGAAGAGGGAAGGGAATGTTTTGGTAAAGCGCATGCTAACGCAGATGATGTTAATTCAACTGTTTCAGAGGATGAGGAAGCAGAACGTATGAAATATGATCAGTTGAGCAAAGCTTGCAATACTGGAAAAGAAAACGACCTCATGGAACGGAGGAAATTGTCCAACAATGTTGATTCTTCATTGAAGAACCATGTTTTAAGTGAAGAGCAAGATGGTGTTATAAACAAACAATCAACAGACTGTATGCCTCGCGAGGTTACTAATCAAAGATTAAATGCTTTGACGCTTGAGGAACCATATCAGTTATCATCATCCGAAGATAGTTATAGAACGCCAGATGAAATATTGGATACAGAGGAACCTCTTGATGGATTGGATGGGATGTATGATACAGAGGAGGAGCTTTGCGAAGGACAGTGGATGAACAATGAGGATATAGACGCTCTTCTTGATGAAGACGAGGAGGGTCTGGTACATGTTTGTAAACTTGGGATGAATAGGGACATTGAGTGTCAGGGTGTTGATAAAAGGCAAGATGAAGAATATAGCAACAAGTGTCAGCAGAATGAATGTCATGGACAGTGTTGTGAGGTAAGACACACTCCATCATTATCTCTCGCGTCAAACACATTAATTTTGAATCTTTTTTAAAGGTTGATGGATTGATTCACGCTAATCTGTTTGTTCAAGCACATTCAGAAATAGTTCTAATTCTTCTCGCAAAATGTGACCTTTATCAGAATGAAGACACCGTGAAATCTTTGGTGAGTGTGAAAGAGTGTTTCACTCCATAAGATTCTACCAATACAAGATCTCCAGAAAGAACAAATTCGAATCGATAGAGTAACACAAGGTTGATAAATGACGATAATTAGTGGGAAGATTAGTTTAGAGCTGTTAGAATTATCCATTGTGTAAAGTTTGCTTTGCATTTCCTCGTATATTACCTGATAAATCCAGGCAAATGCGATATAAAGTTAACTGATATTCCTTAATACGTGTTTAGTGGAGTTCATCTCTATCACAGCTCGGTGAACTCGACATTTTGATGAAGAATTCGGCAAAACATATTTATCAGGTTGGTAAATGTTTGCAAATCCTCAGTTTCATCTTCCATCAAAATTCGCTAACTTTTGTGTTTTGCTCTCATCAGGATGCCCAAGTGCCGTTCAATTTATTAATTTACGATAATTTTGAGAAAACCATGTCAGGTATTGTAATTTTTGTTGAAATACACGACCTAAATTCAATGTTGGAAATTTTCCCTCCGGCGTCGTTTAACAAAGACGTTTATCAACAGATGAGGTTTCTATCACGGCTGATGTTCTACAAAGTGACCGGGTTAAGATATAGACACTTGAGTAAAGTCATTTACATTCATATTTGATAATTTTTGTTTTTAGGTAATCTACGAGAGCCCGTCTTTGCACCAGATCATGTGTTTTGCGAAGCAGCTAAAACTTTGCACAACCATTTCAAGAATGCTCCGCAGCTGGGAGACGTTACTTTGAGGTAAGAGAACGTTACTCTGCTTTGTGAAAGACCTTTCGACAAATGTTTTAGAACAATCCAATCTGAATCATAATTATCCATTTTCAGGAATTTCCTTTGTGGCATTTACGGTGAGCGAACACTTTCACGAGAAACCTATTTTCAAGAATCTGTAAATAACTCTTCGTCAAATTGGGCACCGAATATTACTGGATATTTGGCTGAAAAAATGAGAGAATATATTGTGAAGGATGGTTTGCCGTTTGTTTAGTAGATGAGGAGATTTATCGGGACACAGATCACCGCTTTAAAAAATGGCGGTCAATTTCTTATGGGTAATAATTACGTTCCGCGCTGGTAAAAGTGTGATATTTAATGTATATTATCAGTTTCATAAATGATAAAGTAAAATTCCTAAATATAAGAAAAGATTGTGTATTTTGTAGGGTTTTTTCTTTCCCTGATAACTGTGAGTGTTGATCTAAAGTTTGTTATGTTTAGCCTGGAATCCAGGTAATCAAGTTAATCCAATTAATCAAGTAAATCCTGGTAATCAAAGGAATGGCTGCGAATCCTGGTCCGCGAGGTCACAAAAATAACTTGATTACATGGATTTACTTGATTACTAGGATTTACCAGATTACTAGGGCTTTCCATAATACTGAGATTGTAAGATTAGTATAATAGTTTTAGATCTACATTGATGATGCATTGTAAGGTTACGAACCTTGATACTGCGTCACATGATGTCAGCGATCTCTGCGCTAAGACAAGAGAGGAGCCTGGGTCGAGCGACCAGCCCAGCTTCGTTTTCTAAATTCGGAAAAAATATTGACATTGAAAATATAATATTTTGAATGAATTGTATGTTGAAAATACTCGCTTCGGTTAATGTCTCCAAGCTTTGCTCACGGTAACAAGAAAGGTAAGTGAGAACGGTTTGTTTGAATTGTATTTAAAGCGCCATCAGCCTACTGAGAGAGAATAAACAGCCGTATTCCTGAAGTGCCATATTTTGGGAATACACAACCTTGTTTTATCACAAATTCGCTTCGAAATTCGCACTCAAAGACGAGTTGTTTAGTAACTGAGATGAAACTAAACATTCAAATAACTTTAAGTGCGAATTTCTGGCGATTTTTACTCTTAAAATTCCCTTTTAACTGTATAAAGTTTCTCAAAGGAAGTAAATTTTTATTGACATATTTATGTAGTCATTTCAAGCTTCGTAGAGGTCTGTTGCGTGGTTAATATTACCCTAGTTTAAAGCGTAAATACTTCAGTTTTTACTTAAAGATTTAGTTAATTAAAAAGACAGCTAGAAGCAAGTGAAAGTAGAATTCTCTATGACCGTTCATGATGTTTTAGACGAACAAAGCGACCTGTTTTTTAGAACCAGCTATTGTAGTGTGTTTCAAATGTATATTTTATAATCTTTTAAGCTTAAAACATGTTTTCCTTCGTGGCCTGACCTCTGTGACTCTCTCTCTCTCTCTATGTTAACAGATAATTACTGTTCATAATATATTGTGTGTACTTCATCTCCCAAAACTGTGTTTTAACAGTTCATCATCGTATTTACTTATCAATAATGATTTGAAAATTTTACAAAGAAAATTTGTTCATGCTAGTTTTTTGACATCTGCAATCGCATAGTCACGTTGTTTTTGTCCAAAGACAGCTTTTACAGACATTGTTTATTGTTCAGTTATGAGATAATAATTGGTCTGGGTTATAAGATAAATTATTAACTTGATATGTCTATTAAAATGTGGGATGTTGGCCTGTATATATCTAAGGTGCATCATTTTACCATCCATCATTAATTGTCATTGAGAAATATACAAAGTACCTATGAGATTCACAATCTTTGATCATACAATAATTCCTTATAAATATTTCAAAATGTTGTATAATTTCCCAGAAACATTTTTTATATTGCAGTGTAATTTAGGTCTGGTATTATTTAGCCAAATAAGCCCTTCTAAATATGAGTAATGATTATTTTAGTTCTGATATGTTTCACAAATTTGTCTTGCATTAAAAAGCTATATTTAAAAGGTGTCTGGCTAATATTTACTAGTAATTTGAGTCAATATTCATAAGCCTAAGGATATTCTGGAAACATTTAAATTCTTCAAAGAGAATGGCTTACCTTTAATAGACTTGGTGCTGTGTAGTTATATAATGTTAGAGTTTGCCCATTCTGTCTAAAATTCCTTATTGTAAATTTGTGTCTATGAAACACTGTAAGAATTTAGAAATACTTTAGCCATCTAATCCTTTGAGTGTTTCTAATTTTAAATTTCTCCTTAGTTTATACACAAAACAGACAAACTCGCATTTTGAAGTGAATCATCTATATAAAATGGAATGTACCTGCTATCTTATTGTTATCATCATAGATCTATGTTAGATATAAAAATTAACTTGTGCTTTTTAAGGAAGTTATCTCAATATAAAAAGTCAAGACACTTATTTATCTCTCATTTTTATTTTAACACCTTTTCACAAGTTCCTCTTATATTTTACTCAAGTTCCTCTGAAGCATTTTGTTAATCCTACAATTGCATAGTAAACTATGGCAATTTAAATTCTTGTCATATTTTAGCTTGTTAAGAATTTTCATAATAATTACAATTAATATACACAATACCAGTGTGTGATCATCCATGCATTTTAAGTGGCTACTTAGTGTTTTTTTCTTACTCTTTTCAATATAATTTCCTTGTTTCTTTTCAATATAATAAAATGATATAAGCAAATGAAACTTCCTGTTGGTTATGTTGTTTTTGGATTGTAAGTTTAGTGAACCATTTTACAAAATTTGTGTCCTACGTGACAAATCACTGTTCAATGTCTCATTGTCTTTGTCTGTGTTTTGTCAGGGATTGTGCACATATCAAATATAGTCAAAACTGAACATCATTTTTCAAGAAAATATTCTAAGGAAATATACTCTTGATTTAGACACCATTTTATCATCAAGCATTCATTTTCTGTATTGATACTTCTCTTAATATGTGAGGCTAGGTACATAAAATATTTACACTGCAAGAGTTTAGTGAAACGAAAAGATAAATTTCAAAACAGCAACAATGACATCAAGTATATATATATAGATCAGTATATATATATATATACTCCAGTTGTCTGTTTTTACTAGTTCTGTTACATTACAAAGCAGTCAGAGAGGCATTTATCCAACAGTAGCCCATTTGAGTCACTGCTATTAGGTATACTTGGGTTGATAATTAATAATGTGATGAAAAAATTACAGTTTGTAGTAGCTTCCTGGCAGTGTCAGCCTGATGTGGCTATGCCCTCTGGTAAAGTTGGATTTCATAAGAATCCTGATTGCGCTGGGTTATTCACCGACCATGATCCTGAGAAACAATTTAAAGACTTGAAAGAAATTGGACATGGAAGTTTTGGAGCTGTTTATTATGTGAGTTTGATGTGATTTAGTCCCATCCCATATGTAACCAAACTAGAAATTAATGTCAGTAATAAATGATGAAGCTAATGGATCTTAACACATCAGTCATCAGAGTAAACTCACATAAAATTGTTTTATTTTCACAGGCAAAACATGTCAAGACCGGGGAGGTGGTGGCCATCAAAAAGATGTCATTCTGTGGCAAACAAAGTGCAGAAAAGTGGGCAGATATTGTTAGAGAAGTGAAGTTTTTGAAGCAATGTAAACATGAGAATACAATCAGTTACAAAAGCTGTTATCTTAAAGAGCACACAGCATGGGTAAGTTACTTATTAACTGCCAGTATCACTCCTGTAGTATTAGACATTGTAAATTACTAAATTAGGACACATCTGGGTGCATTGCAAGCTAACAAATTGAAACCTGGATTCATCATATTGGTCAATATATAATTAGGTGGGGGGCACTGTACCACTTCAGCAGCCACTGCACCACTTGGTTACTCTGATGCGTAGCCATACCCATGACCAGCAAAGCATGCTTTTTCACCATGAATATTTTTATGTACCATGTCAAAGTAATTTCATCCATTTTTACAGCTTGTCATGGAGTATTGTGTTGGGTCCTGTTCCGATGTTTTGGAAGGTAATTTCTCTTCATTTTCTTCGCAACTTCATTAGATGACAAAATAAATGAATATTTTTTCCTCTCACAACAGTCCACAAGAAACCTCTTGCAGAGAATGAGATTGCAGCTGTTTGCAAGGGAGCTCTGAATGTATGTGAAGTTTCTTATAAAATACACGTCCTATGTTAAGACTTTTCATGAAGTTCTGATTTGAATGATTACTTTTCTTACTAGGGATTATCATATTTACATTCCAATGATAAAATTCATCGTGACGTCAAAGGTAAGTCGATATTTTTATTATTCACTGTGAAGTTGTGATCGCCGCAGAATATTACATCTCATTCATCTTTTCTTAGCTGGTAATGTTCTACTCACAGAAGATGGTGTTGTAAAGTTAGGTTAGAAACATTCTTTTTTATAATATAAAGCTATAAAATTAATGATATTTCCAAAATTAAATGTTTTCAATTGTATTTTGCAGCTGATTTTGGCTCAGCATCCATTATTTCGCCTGCAAACTCTTTTGTTGGAACACCATACTGGTATGTGATATCCCTTCCTAGGATCCACTATTCCTGTGCCTAAACAATGGGGATAAGGCAGGGGCAGTGAACTATAGGACAGGGGTCATTGCAGGGGTAGATTCAATGGGGATGTGGTATGGAGGAGAGGGGGGCACACACCTAAAAGCATAACCTCATTAGCCTGTAGAGGATACAGAAGTGATGTAAATGTGGCGATCATGGGAAATTAGTTCTTATTTGTTTTACTTTTTGATATCCTGACTGCCTGCCTGCACTGGCTAAAGTTTGGATGATATGTTTGCCCACATAACATTTTATTTCAATTACTTTAGGATGGCTCCTGAAGTCATTCTGGCCATGGATGAAGGCCAGTATGATGGAAAGGTAGGATATCATTTAGAACTGTGTGTTAAAACAATGCTCTCTAGCTCTCTGTCTACTATAATTCGGACATCTGCATGTGGTAAAATATTTTTATTGTGACCATTTAGGTTGATATTTGGTCGTTGGGAATTACGTGTATTGAATTAGGTAAGTCCTAACTCATGATTGGTTGATTTGTCTGAGATATTTCATTTCATTGGTTCATCTTATCCCAAAGGACTTGTGATTGGCTAATCTGTTAAAGTTAATGCATTTGATGACATCATTTTGCTATCATTCGTAGCCGAACGTAAACCTCCGTTATTCAATATGAATGCAATGAGTGCGCTATATCACATCGCTCAGAATGATCCTCCGGCCCTCACGACGGACGGTTGGTAAGTAAAAACTGTTCCCGTAGTGCTCTGCCATCGTGACACCCAGCTGATGGTATTTTGTCGTCTTCTACCTACCAGGTCTGGGAGTTTCAAAGAGTTTATCAGTAAATGTCTGGAAAAAAATGTTCCTGACAGGCCAAACAGCCAGGAACTTGCGTCTGTAAGTAAAAAGATATTCTAATCATAAAGACAGAGTTACAGAGTGATAAATCCTTAGAGGAATGCACATTGAAGCAACCTTGAATAATCCAGGATTCTTCATGATTCCTCCACGGCGGTCAGTGGTAAAGGTTTGTGCTGTGTGAATTCAGGACTGAGTAATGATTTTTAATTGTTTTAGCACGAGTTCTTGAATAGAAGCCAACAAAAAAATATTTTAAAAGAACTGGTTCAAAGAACGAAGAGCCAAGTCCGTGCTTTAGATAATATGAATTATAAAAGAGTGAAAAAAATATTTATGAATGAAGGAAATTCAGGTCTTGAGGCTTCCAGTTCTTTTGATGATGACGCCAGTTCACAGGTACCTTAGATACTTCATGTTTCATTATTTCATCACCATACGTTTTGGTAGTTTTATTGTCATGCATCTTATCTCTGGTTCCATCTTTAAAAGAAGAATATCGTTAAATGGTTTAGTTTGTCTTTAAAAGAACTTAACTTCAGCTATTAAACGCTATATCTCTGTGAAAAATCCGTATTATGAAATGATCTTCCCTTAAATCAACCTTCTTATCGTCATCTGTATTAAAAAGGTGATCATTGCACCAGAGATAACAAATGAAATATTTAATATTACCTTATCTAGATGTCATCTTTCTCCAGCACAATGTCCTCGGTACAACTAAATGATGATACGAGTATTAAATCTGATAAAACAACTAAATATAACGGCGATTCTGAACATTCAGAGGTGCTTATTTACTTAAATATTAAGGAATATCTATTAAACAATAATAAGAAATACAAGTAGTTTAATTGGTTTTAAATAGTTTCATTATTGCTAAATTATGTCGCTCGTTGTTTGTCTAAAATATAATTATTAACTTATAAGCTAAAGATTCAGTCATTTGTGGCATTTGACATCAATATATGTTTACGTTATTGGGGGACGTTCAAGACACTGGGGGACGTTGATGATGCTGGGGAATGTTAGTGATACTGGGGGACATTGATGACCTTTTCTCCTTCATTCATAGGTTGAAGTGACGAACAGGAAGACAGCGAGTGTTCAAAGTCATAACAGTTCGATATCTAGTAACCACAACAGCAGCACTGAGAGCTTACCTGGTGCTACAGCTGAGGCCAAGACTGACAAAGCAACAGAAAAGAATCATGATCAAGGCAAAGACGATGATGTCATTAGTCTCTTTACCCCGAAAAAGGTAAAAGTATGTAAAAGTCTTGAATGAATCTGTCTCAGGTAGATCAATACAAAAGGCAGTTAAATTTTTTTATGATTTTGTTTTTCTTGGGTGTGGAAGGCTGGTTGTGTTTTGTTTGGACCTTTAACCAGAAACATCTTCATTCAATACATCACATTGATTCATATTTTTCCGTAATACATGATCACAACAGCATCCATCATCATCATTCATCATCATGCGGAATGCTTGAACATGTTTTCTTGTTTAGGATGGAGAAGAAGATGAAAGATTTGCGACAATACGACCAATCAACGCTATTCTCAGACAGAGGGAACAACACCAGTCAAACGATGACTTCAGAGAACAGATGAATGTTTATAAACAAATGCGTCAGCAGCATCAGAAACAACTTTTACAACTAGAAAATAAACTGAAAAATGAAATGAACGAACATAAAAAGCAACTTGATCGTGAATACGAACAACAAGTTCATCAATTTGAAAGAGAAATGGAGAAACTGAAGGGCAAACACAAAACTGATTTTGATCAAAAGGTTTGTTAAGTAATCAATGTTTGTACGTACTCTAGGGTAAGCGTGGGACTTGTGTTGATAACTTGATAGTTGACCCTAGTAGGATTTTCCTACGGATAGAAATCCTGCGATAAAATGGTCGTGGTGAAAGAATATGAATTGCTTGTCCAGAGTTATATGATGCACATGTACCTCCTGCTGAATATTTGTTTCTTTTGAAGCTTCGTCAGTTCTCAACGGATGAAAGAAAACTAACGAAACAGATCAAAGAACAGCAGGATAACGAGATGAAGGTTTGCACGACAAGACAGAAGACAGCTTACAAGAATAATAAAACAAGATTGAAAAAGGTAAGAACACTGTATGATTACCATGCATTATCCTTCAAGCTTTCATCTTCTGTATATTCAACCACCATGTGATAGAGGCTTGCTTACACCAAGGTGAAGGACTTGAATTTATTTCTTTGATGAATAATTTCAGGAAGTACGTGAAGGCAAACTAGACATGTCTAAATATCGGGATGAGAAAGGCAAAGTTGCCGCAGATCAACAACATTTTACGCAGACAAAACTCAAGGAACATAAAGATTTCCTGGAGTCAGAAATCAGGAAGTTTCGGCGACAGCAAATTTTACATCGACACGAACTTGAGGGAAAATTACTTCGCGAGGTTGGTGAGAATACACTTAATGATGCAAATGGTTTAGAGTTTAGGGGATTAGGACAAGGATTAGATAAGAGTTGGATTAGATTAGAGTTGAGTTGGATTAGATTAGAGTTTAAGTGATTACAAATTTTCTTTTTCAGGAAATGGATAAACTAGGAAGTCAGAAGGATCAAGCTCACTCGATGTTAGTTCGTCATCATGAATGTACCCAGGAGATGGAATTTAGACATTTGGATATGATTCAGAAGATGAGACTGGACCATCAGAAAACTCAGCAGTCAACAGAATGGAGCAATCAAATGGAATACAACAAACGGGCAGAGTTGGATCTGAAACGACGGCATTTAATGGAACAGAAACAACAGCCAAAGACTCTAAAGGTTTGCAATGGCGTCGAAGACGATCGTGTGTTGATATTCTGGATTTCTGGATTTTAATTTCGGTTTATTATTTCATTCAGGCGCAAGAACTAAAAATCAAGAAACAGTTTCATGACACAGTGAAGATCCAATATCGACAATACAAAGCATATCAGAAACAAGTTCTGCAAACAGCGCCGAAGGAGAACCACAAAGAATTAATTGAATCTTTCAAGGAGGATAGAAATCGTAAAATGGCAGATCTTAAATTACAATATGATCAGAGCATTTACGACATGTTGCAACGTCAGTCAGTAAGTTACCTTGCTCATCTTTGCTTTCAACCATTTTCAATGAAAATAATATAATATATGTTCTTCAGTTAAGACTTGATGAAGAACAGTTGAAAGAACAGGAAAGTCTACGATCAAAACTTCAAAAAGAGCAAGATTTACTGAGCGCTTATCAAGCAAAACAAGCGGAACAATTGATGCGTCAACACGAAAGAGAGTTACGAGAACTACAGGACAGGGTCTCAGTTAGGAGAGCTGTTCTTGAACAAAAGGTAGGTATGAGCTAGGTTTTCTATTCCTACGATGAATCTCTTTAGCAGCCTCTAAAGTTGATTTCATGATCTTTAGATGGATGAAGAAACTAAAAATTTACGGAACCTGCGAAAGGAACGGGAACGAGAGCTGAATAATCGCCACGTGAGAGAACTTGAAGAATTTGATGTTGTTGAAGATGGTATGTCAGGCCCGTGGAAACATCGCTCTTCAAATCAGCGGTCCGCCAACACACAAGAGACGAACAATGGGACTGCTGCCTCCATCAATGGCCGTAAGTCTACAGCGTCATCACCCCCCGGAGCTACAGCGAGGTGATTGTACTTGATGTAGATGCAATTATTGGATCGTGTTGTATATAGTTGGAATTATCAATGAGTCAGCTAGGAAAATTCGATAAAGAATAACACAATAATCAAAAGATGCTCTTTGGATCTTTGTATTTTACTGGTGAACAAATTATAACAAAAATCCACATTACAAAGATAATGGCATGGTCACTTAGGTTCATGTCCAGGCTCTTTCCTCTAAAGTAAAAGATCTTTAATGTAAAAATCATCATTTCTCAACTATAGAAGTGCTATTTTTTCTTAACTATAAGATAATTACTAATATATATATTATTATATATATATATATCCATAACTATGAGTTGTATTTTTACTCAGAGACCTTTTTAAATAGAAAGTTTAAAATTATGTTGTGGTCTTTCAATATGTGTGATGATTGTTTTGCAGGAAATATTTCCACTAATAGGTTGATGCCGATCAATGAGACAATATAGACTATAGAGACAGTTTTGTAAGTACCTCTTAAGTCTAGCAACGGGGGATCTAAGACAAAGAAGTATGTGCGAAATCATTTATGTTAAAAATTTTCTCTGACGAATAACGAGTTTGTAGCTATCACAAATTATCTTTATTTCTCGACCTTATTAACTTTTTTTCTATCATTTAAATCTTCGCCCCGGAAATATAATCGTAGAAACGACAAATCGTGTTCATACTTCATAACAGACGAGTGTGAATTATAATAATGCTATTATTATGCAAATGATTGTTTTTTAGGGTATATTGCTTACTGCTCAGCAAGATCTCTGCTTCGGAGTCCAGAGCTTATAGTGACGATGATGACGATGTCTTGCATAATAAAATAGCTGTCATTTCCGCTCTTCATTATTTGTTGTTCATACCTCTAAGTGTTGCATTTGATATTACGAAATACTCGGTAGAGAACCCGAAGACCATAATTTACTGGTAAGCTTCACTATAGACAAGTCTGTGACATTAAAATAGAGATACTAACGTTGATTGATGTTTGGCATTTATTCAATGTGTCTCAATTACACTGGTATTCATCGCGATGTTGTCCAACCATTCTAGATTCAAGATGAATTAGATTGAACTGCGAGACAATATCATCGCCGCATCTTAGAGACATGAGTGATCAAATTTTAAAAGATATCAAAGTTATTGGTGTTGAGAAGCCACAAAAAGGGAAATTTCGAGAACATTTTGTAAGTTATATATCATTGATTCAATATATAACAATATTTCGACTGTGTCCGTATATATCTTCTACAGGAATATGGTCATGTTTTAATATATTGCCTCAAGTAATTGCCAAGTATATTTCTATATATTGCAGGAATATGTGATCAAAGTAACCTATGAAAATGGTTATGAACATCTTATCTTCAGACGTTATTCCATGCTGTTTCATTTTCACGTAAGTATATACTAGGAAATAACTGAGATTTATTAAAACACGTTGAATACCTCAAATATCTCGTTCAATTAATTAAAATTAATACGAATGGAAAACAAGGGAATGTACTGTATTATCCCTGCTGGGATTTGCGTGAAAGACGAGTATATCAGAGCATATGATCAGAGTGAAGTATCAAATTGATATGTTGTTTCATGCCTGTATTTATTTATACAATTATCACTAATACTTTCGGAATTAAGGTCTAATGCATTGTGTTAAAGCAAGCTTGCAAAACACTGTCAGCAACCTTATTATCACTGCCCTAAACGAGTTACCTTAACTAATTAGGCTGTTGCGTGCGTTCATAGCCCAATCTTGGCTCGATTGTGTCACAAAAATTTCCCTTGCAATCCACCATAATGACTTTTTAATACCCAGAGGGAAGTTTGTAACATGATCGGTCAGCTTATTTTATTAATTCTCTTTATTGACTCAGACACGAAGCATATTCTAAACCTTCACAATCTATCAGCGATAAGATGATAATCCCTTCTATTGACATCTCTAAGATTATGAAATTTAATGTAGTTTGTATACAGCACCGCTAAGCACCGCTAGTTTACACAAGAATTATGATTTGAGATACACGATTTTTGCCCGAATTATTGTAAAAAGTATTTTAATAATTAGTTGCCCTGCTTATACAAGCTGTCGTGTCATCAAACGTACGTCGAAACTGTGAAGATTGTTTCATATTTTGTATGTTCTTTCGACTTAAAAAGCAGCGTTAATCATTGTTGAATCTTTTCCATTTGTAGTCCGTTTTGAAGGAAGTGGTAAAGGAGTGCTACAGCAGTGTAATCATACTTCCTGAACTGCCTGGTAAGGACGAAATATATTGTTTATATAATCTTATTTCCAGTTATGGAAACTTGCGGTTAGGAAAATATTAAATATTTTCAACAGATATTTCATCCTCACGCTTGATTTATCAACTTCCGGTTCGAAACTATCGCAGAATTAAATGCGCATTGCATGGAATGAAAAGCAACGTGACTTCTAAAAAAAAGCCGATACAATTTAATTCCAAAGGCAGAGAAAAACGTCGCTTCATCGTGCTGGACTTCGCTGCTCCAAAAGTTGATGTAATTGTTGCTGGTCTAATTTACATCAATGTTTATGTTTTCCTCTTCAAACAAGGAAGTTTGGCTATACCTTCGGACATCGCCGCCATGCAAAATACCGAAATGAATTGCAAACAATTCTTTCAAGTTCTTTGTTGTAGCAAAGGTTGAATATTCATGTCACTTTGGTCTTGTGATATCGTATAATATCTCACGAATAGATCCGCCTACCCGTCTCACACGTCACACCCTAAACCCACGTCAGAAGATTGTCATGGCAACACATTGACCACATTCTCTTCTTCCCCGTAAATTGTTTGTTTTTTGTAATCGTTACCATTGTTCCTGTTTAAAACATCACCACATAAACAAAGAAATCTTTCACGAATAACTTGAATAATTCACATTCGTCGTAGCCACTTAAACGTTTTGCCAAATCATGTGTTTTTGTCAAAACAATTTTATTCAACACAGTCAAAGAATCTTTTTTAAAATCCTATTTACCCGAAAGTATATTCTTGAAAATTTTTTTTGTATTTTAGTTGCAAGATTTCAACATGTTGGCCGCAAGTTTTTTGGTCTTAATATGAACAAAGAATTGAAGCAAATGACGGAGTTTTGTCAGGTGAGTGCGCATGTCACGCCCTTGTCACATGACGTTATAGCAAGTTTCGTCAAGCAAATGATAAAAATTGAAATGAAGAAATCGTCGTCCATTTTGACGAGTTTTGTAATATTGTTCACATTCTGTTGTCTTTGTTTGTAGAAAATTATAGTTCTGCCGAGGGTTCTTTCTGAAAAAGAAATAATTTTGAAATTTTTTGCTCAACTTGGTACAGATGTTGCTCACGCCGAAGCGTATCAAGAGGAGTAAGTTATCAAATGACGTATTTTGAAATTTTGAAGGTTTAATATAATATGGTGCTATCCGTCCTACCTTACCAGGAATGCTTGCTCATGGTGTTTCCAAAAAAAACTTTTTCCAGTCTCGTTTGATTCTGCCAGTCCAGTAACTAATATTGAAGTCAGGAGACATTGAATAGTTCCTCTGACAGACTTTCCTTACATTAACTTTGCAGTTCTCAAAAAAGTGACAATACAAAAGATCCTATTGAAAGAGTTTCGTGTAAGTCGTTCAACCAGAGGCAAATTTATATTTTCTTTTTCCTCCTGTTTGATTGTATTCCTCTTGTCTTTCAGCTAACAACATTTCCGACAATGCAGAAATGAGCAATGAAATTGATCAATATGTATCCATCGCGGCATTTGATGCTGGTGGAACAGGAGAACTCTCAGTTGTCGAGGGAGAGATTGTTACCGTTATTGAAAAGAATACGTCTGGTAAAACATCATGATTTAAACAATTAGACAACGAACTAAAGATTTAGCCTCTAATATCCATTTTACATCACAGGATGGTGGCTTGTCTCCAACCAACAAGGGAAGAGTGGTTTCACTCCAGCTACTTTCCTGCAGCCAGTTGAAGCAATGACCAACACAAGAGAAGAATGGCAAGATGTCGCTGGTCCTGATAGTATGTAAACCTTCAATTTTCCATATCTCACTTAGCAAACTTTTAAGGCCTGTTTACCTGCGATCCACGTGCGACTTTCTTCTTTTGGTGGATATGAATGAGTGGATAAGTTACTGAGTTCAGATAACGCCACACATAGACATCCCAGCATTGATAACTATGAACTTGTTCACATCTATTAAAAGAGGAAAATCGCACCGAAAGAAGCACCACGTGTAAAGAGTATATTCAATTAATCTTTATACCTCGACCAACAAAGAAGAGATTCTAAGGAATATTATCAAACCTAAAATCCGTGATTCTCCATTCAGATATTTATACTGCGGTCAAAGACTATGTAGCACAGTGTCCTGATGAAATGAGTTTTAAGTGCGGAGAGGAAGTGGAAGTCCTGGCAATGAGTAATTTCGGCTGGTGGCAAGTCAGGTACGTCCAAATATTTCTTGGATCGTGAATTTCTTCAACAGACAATTCATGGTCATCCTTGGCATCTCAGCTTCTGAGAGATACGAAAATTGTGTTCAATGATTTGCCGCTGGGGAGGGGAGGGGAGGGGAGGGAGCGTATCTTCATTACGGTTTACTGTGTGATTTGACATGATCTATAACTTCAAACTAAGTTCTCTCAATTTTTCTCGTATTTCAGGTCATTATACAGCGATAAAATTGGTCTTTGTCCCGCGTCAAGCTTGACCATAAAGAAAGCATCAGTTTATTACGAAGTATGATATCTGTCGTTCTTTAAAAAAGACGATCTGGAATCTCAATACAATTTTTTTTGTCATTGTCAACAATTTCAGGATCCGATGAACGAGTATCGTAAATCCATTATTCAATTTTCTAAGAAATATTCAGGAAGGGAAAGAGAGGCGCCCCCGAGAACGTAAGATTTCTTGTAATTTTCTAATCTTTTCATGGATTTTTGTAAACTTGCTAATGAAAGAACGTCTTTGAATGTTGCAGAAGTTCACAGAAGAGTTGCGACAGCGAATCCAGTGCTGACGGTAAGATGGCTTTGAGGTTGTTTATTTAACAGCATTTGAGCTATATATTGCATGGAACAATGAAAATTTCAAATTTGGAAGATTTATTGAAATATAATCTTGTCGATGTTTTCCAGGTTGTGGAAATATTCGCCAACCAGAGCGATTCAGCCCCCCGGATAGGTAAGATGTCACAGCCTCCGAGAGACTCAAAAATCTCGTATATCAAATGTAACAACAAGAACTTTTCTTGTCTTTGAACAGTTCTGTGGAATATACCAAAGTTATTCCAAAACATCTGAGGTGAGAATCACTTGAGACCTTTCAACTTCATTATAAGATATCTCGAAATATTGCTCACATGCAGCTTGTCTGTCGTTCTTTTTGCAGAAATGATGAGTCAAATAATAACACAACCGAGAAGGTATTTGTTTTAATAAATTATAAACAATTTCTTTGAAAGATCCAGATATCCTGATCGTGAATTCATTGATTGTAGATAAATTACGTCAATGTTCCTGTGATTAAGAATGGAACACCTCATTATCACGAAGGTCGGGACTCAGAGGTACGTCCTCTTCTTCTTCTCAACTAGTCAGTCACAAAACACGACAGTTCATGGTAGAACATTCCCCACACTTCACCACCATCTTTTTCAGGTAGTATAGATACAAACAAAGAAGGTTCACTGTTGAGTATTTCTGCACTAAAACACCCATATTTTCACCAATATTAGGCAATAAACGTTCACGTGATGAGAAAAGACTATCAGAAAAACGGTTTTATCCTTCGTGAAGGAGACATGGTTCAAGTCATCAAGGTCATGCCAGATGGTTGCTTTTGGAAAGTTGCGACAATGAACCCGCCATATGAAGAAGGATTAGTCCCCTCAGACCTGCTCTGCCCTGAACTGCCTCATCAGATAGACGATACTAATACAACAAGCAGAGTAACGAGGATTGAGGAATGTTCAAATAAAAATAACTTGGAACCTTTGAAAGTTTTGCCCAGATTCACTACGCCTCCGTCAATGAGAAGACCAATACCGGCTCCCAGGAGCAATGCTCCAAAGTCTCCTACAGGTAAATTCTGATAAAAATTGTATATAACTCACGGAAGTTTGAATTTATCGGTCGATTCTCCGTTCCCTGCGTTGCATTGCCTTGTCAGGCTTCTTATTTTGCGCGCAAGTAAAGACTGATCGGAGAATGACCCTATTAATCCTTATGTGTACCTACTGTGTTCCATATTGCAGCACCGCGACACAGTAGTTCAGTTGTAGCCCTGATTGATTATAATCCTGGCCAGACTGATTTGCTGGCATTTCAAAAAGGCGACGTTGGACGTCTTATAAAGAAAGCAGGAACTGGATGGTGGTTTATCGAACTCAAGGGAATAGAGGGATGGGTTCCTGTTGTTTACTGGGGGGACCTGAAGGTGAGTGAAAGTATATTTCAAAGCGCAGATGATCTTTAATCATCATTGTGGTTTTTTGTTTCTAAATGTTTATTTTTTCATGAAACAGGAAGCACGCAATGGCAAAATTCCCGAGCTATCTTTACAAGGTAATAAAAAACCTTTTGCCGTCAAAGTTAAAGATGTGTTTTATGTTAACGAGAGATTTTTTCTTTTCTAGGTTTTGGTAATCAGTGGTTTGTTGGTAAAATGTCCAGAGACCAATGTGAAGACATGTTTGGAAAGGTAATTGAACTATCCTAAGGTGGCAGTAAAACTACTGTCTTATCAAACACCTTTAGGCCGTGTATTCTAAACCTCAACGAATCAAACTCTTATTTCTTCCCTTTAATTGCAACATCATTGTCTTTTTTTTAGCACGGAAAACATTTGGACTTTATCGTGAGAGAGAGTGTGCAAAGGGTAGGCGTATTTTTTTGTAAGTTTCCATGTCATTCATTAATGGACGTTCTCTAAACTTGGTTGTTTTTTCTTTAGGTTGGATCTTATGCTCTTTCTATCAAGTTCAATGAAAAGTAATATGTTCTGTGCTAATATGTTTGTTATAAAGCTTGTGTCTTTGACAATAGTACGAGATTGAGAAATTGGACGGTGATCTATATTAGAACTGTTTATACAGAAGAAGAAAAAATATATCGCATTGCTAAATGTTTTCAACAGACCTCGTCTTTTCTGATGTCCATTCTCTCCTTTATTTCAGTATAGTTTTACCAGTAAATCAGATGTTTATTATTTGTTGTGTTTTCGTTTTAGAATTCACCATTTTCCGATCGAGAAATCTTCATCAGGGAAACTCCAGATTGGAAAACTAAGTTTTGATCAACTTTCAGAGATCATCTCTCACTATAGAGTACATCCGTTGTTCTACACCGACAACAGACAACCAGTATCCGTTGGCAAACCTCTATCAAGGTAGAAAACACTCAAGTCCGCGGGGGATTGGCAACCAGCGCTATAAGTTCATATGAATTAAATACTCTGTTGGAAGTTATATTTTTTACTAACCATTACCATGGCATATTCCTGATACAGTAAAACTGACCTTAGACATGTCTGCATGACAAGAACTGACCCATGCATCCATACTGGAAGAAAGTGAATCTCATCACTGGACTCTTAAAACTTTTACGTGTACATAATATATGAGATAATTCTTACACAAGTTTTTTAAAATGTTGTCCTTTGCTCACCGGGCTAAATGTTCGGGGGATGGGCAAATTGAAATGATAATTTTGGTTGGACAGGTGAGACGATACTTTAGGAAGAAAAAAGTGGCCTCGGGCCAAGCAAGATTATCATTTCAATTTGACTTGGCTATTTCACAACACATCTTGCCCTAGTGATGACGGTAATGAGTTCTCAAGTGGTAAATCGATAATTTAAATCCCAGAAATATTTTTATTGTGTTCTAAACCTAATGGTGATCACAATCGTCTTCCTGGTCATTCATCCTTCGACACCCCCACCTAAATTTTTTTGTCCCCACGGCCCACATACCATAACCACACTTCAACACCTGTACATTTTTCAAGTAAGGCTACTTTTACAGAATTAAACCTGCAGATCTTTGCAATCGTTGCACCAAAGGTTTTTACGAGTGATAGCGTTAACGCCCGTTTACACTGTGTGAGCAAACCCCGCGTGATTTGACGTATGTAAATTAGCCAACCTATGACCACAGACGGTTATATGAAACTGGACACATACTTCTTAGTTGTTACACAACGTATCGAATCTTGATTTTGATCTCTTTTGAAGATGTCAACCAGGCGAGCATTGCATTTTGTCTTTAAAATCGGCAATCGCAAAGCTAATGCTAGGTTTTATAGAGACCTGCTTGGTTTAAAGGTAGAAAACATATTCATATCATCATATGTATAGTTGTATACTTGTTGCACGCGAGATTCAAACTAATTTGTAACAATCAATGTGTGATGTATCTATCTTATTTGACAGGTTTTGCGACATGAGGAGTTTGAAGAAGGTTGCAAAGCTTCATGTAATGGGTATATATAAATATCAGATAGAGATATGGTTTAATTCCATCATTTAGGGGTGGCAGCCTAAGAGGGCAGGGTGAGGGTGGTCTTAGCCCTCCAAAGTGCATGCTACATTATTTCATGTTATTTAGACCATATGATGGCAAGTGGAGCAAAACAATGGCAGGGTTTGGAGCTGAAGACAACCATTTTGTTGTTGAGTTAACATATAATTATGGCATTAAAAAATACGAGTTGGGCAATGATTTCCAGGTAGTGAATAAGTTCCATTCATGCATTATCATTCTCAAATATTGGATCCATCGAATAGCCATTGAATGGGGTTGTGATCTAAATCTAAACATGCATATAGGGTCTGACAGTTTTCTCAAGTGATGCTGTAAAGAGATTCAAGAATGATGCAAATTCGCCATTAGATGACATGGGTAATGGAACATACAAAACTCATTCACCAGATGGATATACATTTTACCTTGTTGATGAAAATAAAAAACAAGGTAAGACTACTTATGATGACTTATATTGGAGTAACTTGTATGCGTAACCACCTGATTTTACTTTAATTTTAGATCCTGTTGATAAAATTTCGTTGGGTGTATCAAATCTTGAAACATCAATGAAATACTGGCATGAGTTATTGGGAATGAAATTGTATAAACAGCAAAGTGACCGAGTATTACTTGGGTATGGTGATGACCAGTGTAAGTTAGAGTTAGTTAGCCTTGCAGGGCAAGTTGTGGATCATGCAACAGGGTTTGGTAGGATCGCATTCAGTTGCCCACGTGATGAACTACCTGAAATTCAGGCAAAGGTTAAAGAGGCAGGTCACGTCATCATCACCCCCCTGGTACGTCTGGATACTCCTGGCAAAGCAGCTGTTGAGGTCATCATTTTAGCTGATGTGGTGCGTCTTTAATAATTTTCATATATATGGAGATATAGAGTACACACAGCAGCTTCTTGACAAAAGTTATCTATTAAAATTATTATTAACAAATGATCTTATCACATTTATATACATGCATATAAATGAACCAAAAGAAACATTTAAATTTTTTGTGTACATGATTGCCTAACAATCTACTTATAGCCTGAAATATTTTATTAGGATGGCCATGAAATATGTTTTGTTGGTGATGAGGCATTCCGGGATCTTTCACAGGTTGATCCTACAGCAAAAAATTTATTGGAAGAGGTAATCAAATTAAGCATAGGGAAGCCTCTGAATTTCTTCCTATTTTATTTTCCATTTCTTTGTATCATTTTAGGCAATGGATAGAGACAAAAGTGATGAATGGTTTGCAAAAAGAGAAACGAAATAGATTGAAAAATAAAATAATGGACTTTACCGCTTCTGTATTCCACAGATTAATCAAAATACTTTCAGTACCAGCCAGGAATCACTTTTCAATTTCATAATGCACTAATTCTTAAAGAACTAGACAAGAAAAAGGAATGGCTTTTTAGTTGTCATTAGGTTAGGCATGCATGTCAAAAATAAAGCTTTAGTGATAAGAAGCTTAGAAGTTTAAAGGCATTATAGGCGTTTCATACACGTGCTCTCCTACGCATGTGATGATATCACACTTCATAGGAAGTCATAAACTCTCTAGTTCTATGTACTAGTTCAAGGGTTGTCAATAGTTGACCATATTTGCCATTGACTTTATGTGTTGTATTTTAATGGTAGGAATGCTTATTAGCCAGTGCGATTCTCAGCTCGATTTTTGCGCAATGATTTTCCAAAATTTCGCAATTACATCATTTACATGCCTTGGTAATATCATTAATTAACCAGACTATCAGAGATCATTAATTTGAGTACATTATTAAATCATTTAGAAAGACGCTCATTATGAAGTGACGTCAGATTATATTGCGTAATTAATTTGTTACATTCAATGTTCTGGTACTTTGCCCCGTAGTTATCGAAAGAGGAAAATGTTAACTCTTCGGAAAATTTGCCTGCATTAAACAAGATATTTCACCTCGTATTTGCAGAATAACGAAAGCTTTAAAGATTATAGAATATCCTGGTTTAATACAGTCGATCTAAATTTATTGACGATTGAAAATTATTCAACAACATGTCTGATCAAAGTGATAGCCGTCATGACACTGGAACAAGCGAGTATTCTTCTGCTTTACCAATTGGTTATGTTGATATTTTCGTATTTTCCTCGTTCCTGGGTCTCTTGTTGTATTGGTTTTTTGTAAGAAAGAAAAACCGTGAAGAAGCTGAGCTACCAGTTGTAAATGGGTAAAGTATCATGTCTATGTTTTGTGTATATATAATAGTGACTTGTCATCTTGCTCATTCATGTCCAATATTTATTAAAGTGACTCAAAATTATGGCGAGAAAGTTGATATAAATAGAACTTGTATTGCACTGCTTCACGTGTAAATATTACAAGTGGTGTAACAGATAATATATTACCATTATATTGGTTTAAGTACGTTGCCTTTTTATATTACCTCTCCCTCAGGGGCATCCCTGAGGCACAATGCTAATCTCAGTAGCCTGCCACACCAGAGAATGTTTTCTCCCATCACTGGCTGAAAACCTTGGATGGTTAATTGTAGAACTTTTAATCTGTTTTAGAAATATTAGTAAAAATGACTCCAGCTTTATTGACAAGATGAAGAAGGGGGTATGTCTTTAAAATATATCAATAAAATGCATTTTAATTTGCCTGCTAACTTTCTAATTTGTTAAGAAAACCAATTATTTTTTTTGTTTGTAGCAAAAGCAGATTGCAATATTTTATGGTTCCCAAACAGGCACTGCTGAAGAATTTGCAGGTCATTTAGCAAAGGATGCTGCAAAATATGGAATGAAAGCATCTATATTTGATCCTGAAGAATTTGAAATGGTATTCCTGAGTTTATTATAGCTTGGACATATATTACAATACACAGTTGTATGCATGGTTACAGTTTGATTTTTCACCTCAAGTTATTCCTCAATCATTTTTAGGAAGATCTTTCTCGAATGAGTGAGATAGAAAATTCATTTGCAATATTTGTCATGGCAACTTATGGTGAGGGCGATCCCACAGATAACGCTCGGGAATTTCACGAATGGTTGGAACAGGATCAAGAGGGCCTCGATTGTTTAAATTACACAGTAGGTGAATGCATGATTCGTAAATATCTTCAGCTCTTGGTTGTTACCTAGTTGTAGACACTGTGCATAACCATAACGAACAGATTACAAACAAATTACTACATTTTATTACTGGAAGAAGTATATGAGAATCATTACATTCAAACTGTTTTTGTATTCCTGCAGGTGTTTGGGTTAGGTAACAAGACATATGAAAATTACAACACTATGGGAAAATTTGTTGATAAACGTCTTGATGAGTTTGGTTGTACAAGATTATTTGAACGTGGAGAGGGTGATGATGATGCTGAGTGAGTAATTCCTGTCCCATTTACATTCAGTTTGACTTGAATTTCTGATGTTCAGGATTATAATTCTTCTATAAAATGATTTCATATGTTTGTTGTAGTATTGAGAATGATTTTCTAACATGGAAAGAAAAAATGTGGCCAGCTATTTTGGATCATTATGGCATTGATTTAGCCAGCCTAACGTGAGTTATCAATCATGTTGTATATTCTGTCTCCTGTTTTTTCACTCATCACAGCATTCCCATGTTTCAACAGGCTGTCCCAAGATCTCATTCGGCAGTATGACCTAAAGATTCACACTGATGTTCCAAAGGAAAAAATTTTCTCTGGAGAAATGGCCCGATTAAATTCGCTTCTTGATCAAAAGCCGTGAGTCAAAATCTTTTGCCGTTATAATTATATGTGTTCAGTGTGTTCTGTTTAGGTAATTCAAAAGGCCAGTTCCCATAGGTAATTTCAGGTGTGATTATATTCTTTGGGTAGATGTGTTTGAATGGATAAGTTATGGCTGTTGAGATAAAAATAGTTGTACACCCCAGCATTCATCACAAATCACTTGTTTGTATCTATCAAAAGAAAAAAATCATCCTGAAATTTAAGACAGAAATTGTGGGAAGGCTGAGAAATGTTTTGTTCATTCAATTTGTAGACCATATGATCAGAAGAATCCGTACCTGGCACCAATTTCTGTTAATCGCGAGCTTCATAAAGGTGGAGAAAGATCTTGTATGCATATTGAACTAGACATCTCACAATCAAAATTAAGGTAGATATGAATCTTAGATGGTTTTTCAAACATGGGTCTTCTTGTCCTGCGTGTTTTAATCATGATAATATGATTTTCATGTTGTTCTTGTCTTCGTTGTTTAATGATTGTAATATGATGATTCATGTTAGATACGATGCCGGCGATCACGTCGCGATTTATCCAACAAACGATCCGGAATTAGTTGAAAAAATTGGTCAACTTTTGAACATTGATTTGGATGTCGTCTTTTCTCTTGTTAATAAAGATGGTAGGTGATAATAGACTAGTTTACTATGTCTTAACATCTAGATACGGTTGGTTCGTGGAGAAAACCTCTATTAGTTATAACCATGGGCTGTTATCTTATAACCGTCCTGTTATAACGTGGACAATTCAGAAGACAAGATGTCTTAGACTGGATTGTTTATGGTTATAAACAGTCCTTTAGTCTTCCCACTAAATAGGGTCTAGTATTTCCACTGTCTCTGATTGATCAAATGTTGCTATGAGCCTATACGAACTTCGCTTGATGAACGAGTACTGACTAATGTATCAACCACACACAACAGTGTCCGTATTTTCATTTTCAGAGGAATCAAATAAAAAGAATCCATTTCCTTGTCCCACAACCTACAGAACCGCGTTACTTCACTATGTTGATATTACCAGCAAAGCGAAGGGAAATGTTCTTCAGGGATTAATAGAATATGCTGAAGACAGCAAGGAGAAAGAATTTCTTGAAAAACTAACTAAAAATGATGACGAAGGAAAGGTCTGTGCTAATCTATCAAATGAATAACATCAAACTGTCCAGAATCCTTTTAATCTTGAATTCCGCTCCAGGATGTTATTCATGCTATGTTAACAAAATTTCTTTCAATATACTCGATTTAGAAACTCCATCAAGAGTGGATAATGGACGACCACAGAACGATCATAGACGTCCTGCAAGATCTGCCCTCCCTTCGTCCTCCCGTTGATGTTTTACTTGAGTTCCTACCAAGATTACAATGTCGATATTATTCAATATCATCTTCCTCAAAAGTATGTCTCGCTGCATGTTAACCTTTTTACACTTTCGAATATATATCTGGTTACCTTAACCTACTCTTGAGCAAAGCTGAGCGACCTTATAACTTACTCTGGTTATCTTAACCTGCTCTAAAGCAACGGGTTGTTAGTCGACTGTTAGCGCTAATCCTCGGCGTTTTGCAACTGCCATCAGGACGCAAGGATGATCGTGCTCTTCACCTTTCTGTATTTTGTTTTGAATATAGCTGCATCGTTTTTCAATTCATATCACAGCCGTTGTGGTCGAATATAAGACTCGGTTAAACAGATGCATGAAGGGCGTTGCAACAACGTGGCTTGCTGATAAGAAACCAAACGGTATAGAACTGATTTAACACTGGCTAACGAGTAACTTTTTCAGTTGTAACCGAACTATAGTTTTCATTGAAATATGTTTATTTTATGTTTCATTTTTTCCAGACGAAGTTCTGCCGAAAGTTCCTCTTTTCGTTCGTAAAACTTTATTCAGACTTCCGTTCAAATCCACAACTCCTGTGATCATGATAGGGCCTGGTACTGGATACGCACCATTTCGAGGTTTCGTTCAAGAAAGACACGTCAAGAAATTGGAAGGTCAGTAAAATATTGACCTCAGATATGCGCTTTTCACACGATTTTCAAGCGTTGCAATGAAGACACAAGGTCTTGATTGTCAAATCAGGGATGAGATTTTGACAAGTATTAAAAAGAACATTTTTAGTATCATCATAACACGAAAAATATTCATGGTTCATTTTTCAAACGAGTAATTCAATTGACAGGCAAACCTGTTGGCGACACAGTGTTTTTTTGGCTGTCGACACAAAGCTGAAGATTACATTTATCAGGAAGAAATTGAACAGTATCATGCCGAAGGAACCATCTCGCATCTTTTTGTAGCGTTTTCAAGAGATCAGGTGTCTTTTCTCACAGTTTTGTTAATGTAGGATATTAATTTAGGTCTAATACTCGTGACTGCGTATTTATTTAGCCTGAGAAACGCTACGTTCAACATTTAATATCAGAAAACGGCGAAGTTGTGTGGAACGTTTTAAATAATCAAGGTCATGTTTATGTTTGTGGGTGAGTAATCGAGTAAATATTTATTAACTGTAACTTCGTTTATTGATCCAGTGTTACTGCAGGAGGAAACCTAAACTAAACTAACTTTATTTATACTGGATAGCTCTATCAGTTCTGAACTGTTCTTCCTAGAGGTCCAGTAAGGATCATCTCTTATTGATCCAGTGTTACTGCAGGAGGAAACCTAAACTAAACTAACTTTATTTATACTGGATAGCTCTATCAGTTCTAAACTGTTCTTCCTAGAGGTCCAGTAAGGATCATCTCTTATTGATCCAGTGTTACTTCAGGAGGAAACCTAAACTAAACTAACTTTATTTATACTGGATAGCTCTATCAGTTCTAAACTGTTCTTCCTAGAGGTCCAGTAAGGATCATCTCTTATTGATCCAGTGTTACTTCAGGAGGAAACCTAAACTAAACTAACTTTATTTACACTGGGTTGCTCTATATTAATAGTTCCAAGATATCTTTTTGGTGTAAACCATGCAAATACGTTGATATATATGTTCATATGATAGGGACGCTCGTCATATGGCCAAGGATGTTCACGACTCTTTGGTTGACGTTGTTCAAAAACAAGGAGAAATGAGCGAGAATGCCGCGGAAGATTTTATTAAGAAACTTCATAGTAAAGGAAAATATTCAGTTGATGTTTGGAGTTAGGAAAATATCGAATTGGTAAAATGGGAGGTAAAGCGAAAAATTAGGAATATTAGATCAGGAATCATCACATCCGCGATATGACGATATGGGATCTAACTTTGGTTCAAATGTTTTGATGGTCCGAGAAATCAGGGGGGGAGTTCATCTGTAACAATTGACTGGCTTTGGCATGGTTTTTAGCGGAATAAATTATCCAACCTACCAATTTTTAGCGATGGTCTTGTCACTAATGAATTTAATATATGACGATTTAAAACGTAGATTAATAAGAAGTTGTTACATATATAATATTACATGTATAACATACTTTGCGAATCATGCCATTGGACGTCACATGGGTCTAAATTCTTTTCGTTTCTGGTTTCTGGGAAAGGGGGGGGGAGACCTCTGTGCTAAAGGTGCCCGCTGTTCCAAGAATTTCACTGCAGGAAAGATATCACAGATCATAGTTATTGCAATTTGTGAAAGAAAAGCACAGCGCAACCAGTTGATATTGCTTTCAAGCGATAAACGGAGACAATTTCGTTTAAAAACAGGTAAAATTAAATTTTTATTGAACCGAATGAATACAGATTTATACATTCCCATTTGAGATCATTATATTCCACATAATATGCCATTACAAAATGTTACAATTTGCAAATTTTTAATAAATGCTAGGATTCAATGGCTGTTCCGGGATATCTAGATTATTTAGGTATAATATTGCTTTATAGATCTGCATTCACTTCTATCGGCAATCTGATTCAAAGTATACATATTTATTTTGCTACTTAGTTACGAGATGGTAACTAAGTTAGACCAACCTGACTGACAATAATGCTGTAATTTGACGATTGTTTTAGGATTCAAGGAAGACAAGCTATTGAAAACGTTTGTGAATTGTTGTTGGTCTCAATTATGGTTACAGCAGCTCCATTTCTGGTTAAGGTATTAGAAGAAAGCATGAAATATTTGAAAGAGAAAAATAATGTTCGTCAAAATGTCCTGCAAGTTTCAGGTGACATCATAGAGACATTCAAAATCAGAGTTGAGACACCAGAAGTATTGCTCTTGAAAATTCAAAAAACTGGTAAAATTAAGTTGTCACTTGTTCGTTCTGGGATATTTACAGCTCATATTGAGGGAACAGTCAGTCATTTAACAACGTGTGAAATGACTGAAGAGGTAGCCTATCAGAGGTCCTATCGATCTGATAAAGGTGGTTATGAGCATTCTCTAAATGTCAGCAAAGGTGATACCCTGCATATCAAAATGGAAGCTCATCATTTTGTTAGTGCAGTTGTTGGTCAAGGGTCAAGTGAAATGGAACTAAAATTGTCATATATTTAGCTAATCCTCCTGTTGTCAATTTGCAGAAAATTATTTTGATGTTCTGAACAAGGTGTGACATGATTAGTTGAGTGTGAAATTGGCTGTAAATTTTTTATCTTAATATTTCAATATATGGTCATATATTATATGTAAATATGCTTCATGGTATAAAATCATTCTTTATAGTCAATTCTTCTAACATATACAAGTTAATTGTTTGAACATTACTTCAATCATTACTTAAACACTCAATTGTAACATTTTTGTTGATCTGTCATATTCACATTGTTTTTGTCCATCACTTTCTTGTTTGAAAGTTGTGGCCACCGGGGCATCAACAACGGAGCTTTTTCACCCCATCAAAGCTTGAAGCATCAAACTCTGCACTAACTCTTGTTGCTTCAAATTCTGTGCTAACTCTTGACTGAGCTACTTTCTCCTGGTTATATGGTGCTGAAGTGACCATTGTTGGAACACCTTCAGTTTCAATTCCATTAATACTTGAGGAATCATATTCCTGCTGTCTTGTTGGAAAACCACCATCATCTAAATCTTCAGAGCCATCAAATCTGATGTACTTTCCTGGACTCTCGTCAAAACCTGTTGACGATCCTCTTTTCATGCGCTGTTTACGGTTATTCACCCAGTTTCTCACTGCGGAAATAGTCAAGTTTTGTTCAGTTGCAAACTGCTCCAATGTATCATGTGTTAGACGTGGGTTTTGTGAGAGAAATGATTCCAGTGCTTCTTTCTGTTCATCTGAGAATTTTGTTCGATTGCATTTTGGTGGAAGAGCTGGCACATCAAGACCTGTAATGAAACAAGTGCAGCTTAGCAACTGAACTGGATTATCCTTAATGCAATGCAAGCTTTTCGGTTGAACATAAACTTACCTTGTTTTATCCGAAGCAAAACTTGCAAGTTATGCTGAAGGTCACCCTCCAACCAAGCCTTCATCCGACGATATGGGACACGTCCCTCTTCGCTCATACGTTCCCATTGTTTTGGGCATCGCAAGAGATCACTGGTTGTTCCTTGGGATCGTTTGATTACATATTTTGAGAAAAGTGTTTGACTTATTTTATGTCTTTCAAGGACATCCCTCACACGTCTTGCAACATCAACTGTGTCAATTGGGTCTGATTCAGGGGGTGCTTCTATAAAAACTGATGGGGGAGAGCAAAAGCTATCTACCATTGACAGGTCAGAATGTAATTTAGATGTATCGTGTTGCGGTAAAGTTGCAGGGGTAATTGGCATGCAATGTCCATTTTGATTTGCAGAAGTGCTTCTATATTCAAGCTGAGGTAAGCTGGTGTAATACACCTCTGAGCTTTCTCGTACATTTCCTTGTGTGTTGGTTATGGCATCACCACTTGCATACACAACACTCTCTTCTGTCAGGTGTTCAAAATCTTCAGCAATAAGTGGCCGTGCGTAAAGAAGCTGCTTGACTTCAGGCTTGTGTTTTTGAAAGTCACTGAGTAGATTATCAAAGCTCGATGTTGCTACTTCATACAACTTGCCCTCTTTGATTTTCACCATTTTGATGTTGTGAAGCTTGATACAAACTGGGGATGCCATGGGTAAAGACCTGCAAAAATGAAATTTCCATATCATTTTTATTGCACCTCTGAAGAATATTTTGCACAAGGTTCTCTAATCTTTAGTTTCCTCCATTAAATAAGAGAATATTAGGAAACCCTGCACTACCCTAAAGAGAACAATGAGAAGGAAAATTTCTAAGGGAAGTTTCAAACACCACAAATAATGATTTTGAAGTGGAAACCCAGCACACGTTTCCATAAAGCGAGAGCATGTTGCGTGTTGCAAATTATTGCTGATTGCGATCATCGCTTTAAATATTATTGTTTCTATTATTGAACTCGCTAAAATTTGCTCATATGCGTGTTCTAGAAATGCTAAAACGTATGCATATTAAAACCCTTCTTTCTCGTTCAAAATCTGAGAAGTTTAAAAGCAAATCGTTTGCTAGGATTTCTCATCGGTTTGAGACGGAAAGCAGCTTTTATAATCGATATAATTTTCAGTTCAAAATTTAATCATTTTATCAAATATTTCGATATTATATCAGGCATGCCTTTTTAAATACACTGGGAATAATCAATAACCATTAGCTTACCGATCGGTTGGAAAATATCGAACAGATTTTCGGCTAAAAACTCGATGAAGCGATCACAGATTTACGCCATTGATGATTGTAAATGATAACTATCAGATCATGTGACGTGTATTGATTGATTGCATCATTAATGATAAAAACCGCTGGATTTCTGCATCAGTGGTCCACGTGCAACTTTATTATTTAATATTATTTTATTTTCAAATGATTTATTTGTTTATTTATTTATTTATGAGCACGCTACAGTTTACATCAATTACTTTTAGATTTCTAGTATTAATCTAGTACTAAATATTCACGTGGTTTACCTCCAAGCTAATTTACTTTTCGATTGTTAATGAAGGACAGTTTTAAACTTCTACAGCTATAAACTAACGTTTGAACGTAAAATTTGAAGTCAGGATTTTTCAGGAACATCACAGTAACTGGGATCATACACAAGATAGCTTCCACCATTTTTACTATTTTGGGTGTGGCGTTATTTAATGAGGAATAGAAAAGTTACTTTGTGTGGCATTCAAATGAAAACTTGTGCCCTTTGTAAAATTTCAATATGTAATAATTATTAGTATTATAATATAGAATTTCGCGCGTCTATTGTCATCACTATCTTCACTTCCGCATGTTATTCGATGGACAGTTGTAAAATCTGTCAAAATATTGACCAATGAGATCACTAATTTTATATACGTCACATCAACTCGGCTTCTGATTGGTAGTCTGAGACCTCGTGTAATGGAAACCCCGGGTTGGCCGCCATTATTGTTTTCGTACGCAGGAGGAGAAG